GGGTCACACAAACTGTCATAACAGATGTGTTCCACTAATGACAAGACAATATGACCCAAACACATGGCATGATTTAGTGTTTTGTGTTAATTGGTGAAGCAGAGATGTACCTATAGTATTACCTGAAGAAGGGAGGGATTACCTATAGTATTACCTGAAGAAGGGAGGGATTACCTGTAGTATAACCAAGTGAACAGAAGGTGTAACAACAGTACCGGGGATGAGGCAGGAACACCCCTTCAACTCACCTCTCTCTCCTGTAGCTGGTGTCGCAGAAGGTTAACCTGGTGGGCAGCGTGGAGGTCAGCAGCGTGTAGCCTCTCCTCAACCTCAGCTCGGGCTCGCTTACTCTCCTCAACCTAACAAAGACGAATAAAATCAGCGATAAACAAATGCAACAAACAAATCATTATATGTTGCAATGTGACATGGCCAATTTATAAAGGTCCACCCTGACCTGACCTAACACACCCCGACCTAATCTAACTACATTACTTTCTTCCTATTTGTAGCCATTATTCTTGCATGTGCTTAAAACCCACTATTCTTCTTCACTATTGAAAAAAACATTATTTTTATCACTATTTAAAAACCAATTATTTTTATCACTACAGGTATTTAAAAACCTATTATTTTTATCACTATTTAAAAACCAATTATTTGTATGCCAATAAAAATGCATTACTTCCACTCCCATTTAATTACTGTATATTACTTTTAACCCAATTAAACATCATTACAGTCTTCCTTATTTAAATCTATCTTCCTCCCGATTTTCAGAATGACCTATTTTTCAATCCAAATATCACAACAACCCAATTTCACTTCAACAAGACTGCCAATGACACCAATTTCCCTGGCATCTGATTATTGACTTTCACAATTTCACAAAAAAATGACTATTCCCATATCCAATTTCACAAGTCTAATTTCTGTCTCCCTATTTTTTAACCCCAATTTCACTATAACATGATTACTGTCCCTCCCAATTCCACTATAAACCTGAGGAATATTTAGCACCAATTTCACTATTACATGACACCCACTGTTCCCAATTCCATTCTACTACCTCCCGCCCCTTTCCTATTTTCACAATACAATTCCTCCCCCTCCCTCCTCTCTCCCTACACACCAACTTGCCTAAACAAAACACACAAACGGACATCCGCCAACACCCTCTACAAACTTCCGTCTCTCTCTCTCTTCACACACACACACACACACAAACACACTCCCCACACACATCCTCTCCCTGCCCCCACATACATACACACACTTTCCCTCACCCCCCCACTCATACACACACATCTTCCCTACACACACCTCCACCCACACACACCCTTCCCCACACACATCCTTCTCCCACATAACACACTCTACCCCCCCCCCACATACACACATCATAATAAGGGACAATTTCCACATTATCACCGTCACCACACTTCATTTTACTTCAACTATGACCAATCCATAACACCTCCTGCCACCATTACCACCACCAATGGTGCAAGCAAGACTTGTGGTAAATGCTTCTTGGGTTCAAAATAGACATGACAGGTGTGTGTGTGTGTAAATTTTCAACGTATGAACTACATATGTAAAAAATAAATAACAATAATAATAATACAGTAAAACAACAATAATAATAATAATAATACAATGATAATAACAACAATAATAATAATAATAATAATAATACAATAATAATAATAACACAATAATAATAATAATAATATTAATAATAAAATAATAACAAAAGACCACAAGAGTATCAAAACAAAGGACAGGTCATAAAGGTCACATATAACAGCATGGAGAAGGTCAGGAACCCCCAAATATGTGATGAGAGAAAGGCCTTGGGTCACGAAGACTCAGTCACAAAGGTCACATAAGACAGGTCATATTACTATCATTATCATCATTACAATTATCATTATCCTACATTATCATTATTATTCATTCTCTGTACAGTACTATAGTGAATAACTCTATGCAACACACACATCACATTTGACGATCAAGCAGTTTTAATGTATGACTTAACCCCCTGAGTATGATGACTTAACCAACTAAATATGATGACTAAACCCCTGAATATGACGACAACCTTTGAGTATGATGACTTGGCCCCTTCAGTATGATGATCTAACCCAATGAGTACAATGACTTGACCTAGAGTATGTCATCGTACTCAAGAGAACAGGTCTCTCCCCTCCCTTCATAAACCCCTCCCCTCCCCCACCACCATCCTTCTCTCTACTAACACTACCACCATCACTCCCCCCCGCCCGCCCCAGGTAACATCGATCACCTGGACGTTATTGTCAGGTGTGAAGAGCAATACAAACAGGCAAAAAATTATGGGTGAGTTCCCCTCCCCCCACCCCTCACCTGCCCTCACGAATATTACATCAGTTATTCATCAGCTGGGACCAAGCACCACAAACCATGGGTGATGGTGGTTGATGATGTGGGTTGGTGTGGTGTGGGTGGATTGTGTGGGTGATGGTGTGGATGGGTGTGTATATGAATGTGTATGGCTTCACAGGTGGGTTAGATAGAGCAGGGTACAATGTTGTTTGTGTATGGTAAATGACACACACACACAATCACCACTCTACAAATACATACACATAACTCCAATCACCACACACACACACACACACACACACACACACACACTCACCACCCCACAAATGTGCTCCCTCCCCCCACAAAAAACAGACACAAACATCCTATAACAGAAATGACTACCCCCTTTAACCCTACCACTATCCCCACACCATAACTCGCACCACCAGATGCTGCCCCACCACACAATACCCACCCCTCACAAGAGAGCCCAATGCAGTACATCAATACACTAAACTACCAGCAATTGTCCATTTTCCGTAATGCATTCATCACAAAGGAAACACATGTATAAAGTTGTTTCCAAAATTCAAAGGAAATCAATTCGCACTGGCTTGATGGGTTGCCATAATCTTTTTCTTTCAGTTCTAAAGTTGAAGGAAATCAATTTGTTATGGTTGAAAAGGTTGCCATAATGATCTTTTAATTTCAAAATACAAGGGAGTCAACTCATGCTACCTAGAAGACATTTCCTTAACAAAAAAATAAATAAAAAAATCTCCACAACATACAAATTAGAATATACAGTACAGTACAATACAGTACAATGGTAGTGATAATGGATAGTGGTGGTCGTAGAGGGTGGTGGTAGTAGGTGGTGGTGGTGGTAGTAGGTGGTGGTGGTGGTGGTAGTAGGTGGTGGTGGTAGTAGATGGTTGTAGTGGATGCGGTGAATATGGTACAGAGGGAGCGAGTTTGCACAGCTCTTACCAACACCTGCCACTGATAACACTCCCCACACACACACACCTGTGACTAAGTGTAGACCTCTTCCTTCTCCCTCCTCACACTTGTTCCAACCTAACACGTTGCCTCGTCTGCTTCAACACATCCACCACCTCCAACACACTACCATGTATACACAACCCTTATTTTAAACAAATCTGAGGTAAATGTTTCTAATTCAAATAATTAAACATCCCTTATTCCAAACATCTCTACTCAGTCTTTACTCCAAACATCACTTCTTACTCTAAGCATCTCTCCATTGTGTATTACTGCCATTAATAACTACACATCCATTACTCCAAACATCTTTAAATATGCAACACTGACTCCATACACCTTCAGTCACCGTCCAAGCTCACAACTCAACTCCAAAACACCTCGTCTCACACCAAACTCCAAAACCGTCTTATGCTCCCTCACTGACCTTACTCCACATCACCAATTAATAAGGTTAACTCTACTATTACCCCCAACTATTATTAAACTTCAAACACACAACCCTAGGCAGGAACATTTTACTCTGAGTCCTTCTTTTTATTTGTCCCAGTGTTCAGCCCATCTACACTTAATTATGTAAACAAAAAACTTGTGTCAAACTCTGATAAACATCACTTATGATTCGTTATGTTCACGTCTCACTTCTACTTGATTTGGAACACATGCTTATAGTACTACATGTACTACTACTAAAAATGGTAACTGCTTGCTAGATGTTAAAGCCCATCTCATTAGAATATTGCACTCTTAATATGTTTACCAAACTCAAATTGCTTTTTTTTTAACTGACGGCACTAGACTAAGAAGCCCCCCCCCCTTGCATGTCATTGGCTCATACACAATGTTTGACCAATATTGATATATCACAAATAAATCCATAATGTATAACTGTTAAGGATACCCACTTTGATATCCTGCTTGAAAACATTAACTTTCAAGATATGAGTGGAAAAAAGTTTGAAATAAAGAATATTTACAGTAGAAGTCACAAACAAAATTACGCTTTCAGAGACACATTCAGTGTAAATCCACTACAATACTTCTTCTCTATTCACTAATTATTATGTATATCAAGACAAATAACACCAAACATATAAAGCAACGGATAATATTGACCATTTTATAAAATATAGATCAAGTTTAAACGCCACACCCTTGGGAACAAGTTTCCGAGGATGAAAATCAGCCACATTTTCCAGAAAAAATCCAAGAATGTCTCTCCAAACTTCTCTGTTCCAGGCATGGGAAAAAATCTTGTGAGGGTTCCGAGACATTGCATCGTGTTTTGACGCTTCCGCACATTTACCCACATTCATATTTTGCTGCCATTTTACAAGGACACAATCAGCCGAGAATACAGAGTTAGAGCAGTGTCAAGACATATAAAGTGACTACAGTTATGTATACTGTACTGTACATTCACTAAGTGTGAGAGTACTCTACAGGTTCAAAGTGTACAGTGGTGTTTGTTGAAATAAATATTGCTCTACGTCTGGCTAACGAGCCGATCAGTGGGGAAGATGATAAAATAAAGTACTGTAACCCTTAAATGAATTAATTTGTATATACGTACTCGTATATCACCATCCTCGAGTTACTTCATGGCAAACTTGTCCATGATTTTGCTGATGCTCGCTTCCTTTGTGTGTTGAATCCACATCAGAGTCAGCATCTATGTTCACCTACTCTAATTCCCCCTATAACCATTAATAATTAGCAGCCTTTGCCTGAATTGGCTACTTTTATTGTTTTGCTTCTTGGAAAATAACATTATGAGTTCTTATATGTGACAGCCATAAGTACTGTAAACCTTAAGAATATTTTTCCCTGAAATACCTGGACAAATAGTTAGTTCAGCTTGAAAAAATACAGTACTGTACAGGTATATGAATATATATCTATCAGTTGTTAGAAAATAAAATGGCGGATTTACAATCTATCTTTAATATAATACCTCCCATTTAACATGAGTCAGTTGAACCTCCTACAAGCATCAATATTCCATCACCAGCTCTTGACCTACACTAGTCCACACACACACACACACACACACACACACTTCCTCACTCTAACCTCAAGTCCCATTCTCCATCTCCACTTTCCTCTTCTTTGCTTCACTTATATACAGTACATCTACCCTGTTAGTTTTCCTCCTCCTATCTGTTCCCTGTAACTGTACGATCTCAGCAACAAATTAGATTCAATCATTCCTTTCTCTAGTTCATATTCCCCACATTTGTGTTCTCTTCTTAATCAAATCAATCTGAAAAAAATATTGAGGGATTTAAAAGCTCTACCTATTGTCTCTACTCCTTTTCTACTTATATGAGGGTGGATGTTAGGAGATAAGGCACATGACAAGAACAGAAAGCACGAGGAAAGGTTTGATGACACCAGAGATGCAGTACAGTCCACACACACTGGCTAATATCCTCAACAAGTATACTGTACACAACCCTTACATAGCATGTGAAAAAATAATATACGTACAGTATTCTTAGCCCCATTCTTGCTTTACAATGCATCAAATACATTCACTGCCCATACAGGTGATAAATTGGGAAAAAAAGAATGTTATGAGTCTGAAATAGTTTATCAGCTCACTATGGGGAAAGCCACACAACACACATCATAAGTTTCAGCGTCCTGAACCTCACAAATCTCATATTATGAGAAAGACGGACAATGTTACTGGTCTTACAATCATCAACTCCAGTAGGGTGAACTTAATGTGCAATGTCAGCACAAGGCACATTACCTGACTGTGTCCGTGTGGCTAAATGCAAAGAGAACAGACAAATGCTGTAGTGGTAAGACATGAGAGCATATCAAGGAGTACTGATGAAACAACTTGTATATATGAGCTTAAGGAACAACTGATACTGAGAGAGAAAGTTTACTACAAAGCAATCTTACTTTTCAACATAATAACTCAACTTTGCATAAACTGTGTGTGTGCAAGATGATCACCAAACAGCAAACGACTACACCGTATAAACTAGTAATTTGACACAGAGAATCCCTCCCTCGGTTACAAACGGGTTACGTTCCTGGATCCTTTTCGTAAGTTGATCTGTTTTTAAGTCATAATAGTGTTAATTTCATAAATTAGGTTACCTTACTCTAGGTTAAACCAAAACCCTGCCCATACAAAAACAACAATACTATGCCTTACATTACAAATTACCTAAATACTGTACATAAAGTGATGTTAAACAATATGAAGTAAAAGAGCGCAGACCAGTGGACTATTCATTGTTGTTGCCGGAACGCAGAACCACCAAGTGCTGGCCATTTGTAAGTACCAGCAAGTGCTTGTAGGTTGGAACAGATTTTTATTAATACTCTACTGGGATCACATTTGTAAGCTCTGGTGTTGGTAGGTCGGGACTCCTTGTATACAATAATGGTATTGATATGTGTGTTACAGCACCACCTATATGATATTGTCACCTCATGGGACTCCTTATTCATACTTGTACTGTACATTAATAAGTGTACACCAACCAATGTACTGTACCACAATACCTTCCATGACAAAACATTCTAAAGATAATGTTATATAATAAGAATTTTGCGAAACGTTTTAAAAGAAGACCCAAAGAAAATAAGGCAAGGTTTTTCTTTTATAAAATCAATGAAGATATAGTTCCAGGAATGACTTGGATCAATCATGACATCAGTTACATCAGTTAATTAATCAAGCTGGCTACCCTGTACAGTCTTTATTAATTTTAACTTAAATTACAAAGATGTGTGATAGGCTAGAGGGCTTCACCACCATCTACTATACAAACACATGACACTAATATTATATTATACTAAATCAATATAATTTCAGCTTTGTTATAAGTTTGTTTAAGGTGTCAAAGCTGCCGCCAACCTACCAACCACACCCTCCATTAACAGGATGTAGCCTGATGTCATGTAATAGGATTACACACTCGCTGACTGCACTAAAACATAACACCACAATACATTTCACCAACTGACTGACATCTAAGTACCCATTTACTACTGACAAGGTGACCATGCTAACCATTACACCACAGGTTGCCAGGTCATGTCAGGAACATATAAAACAAAAGCATCACATTAACAATAGGCCTCACTGAATCACTCCTGAATGTAATTTATAATCAGCCTCAAAATGAGAGACAAAACCTTACAGTCAAGAATATGCAATGGCAAAACCTCTATATAATGGACATCTCTCTCTATATAATTCGGTAGATGGAGATTTCACATCTAACGGAGCCTTGATATAACGGACTTTCATCTGTATACAGTTCATTACATGGAGGTTTCACATCAAAAGGAGCCTCGATATAACGGACTTTGATCTGTATATACAGTAGTCGGTTAAATAGAGGTTTCACTGAATATAAATTTCCTACTTCCACAGGGTATCTCAGAAAAAGCAACATATAAACACTACCTAACAGATATTCATAATGGTCATGTGAATGTTTTTAGTACATCATGCAACATTGTCCTCCTCACTTGTTGAGGCATGAGGTCTCCCACAAGTGAAGACAATGTTGCTGCTGTAATAATAACATTCACACAATCTTCAAGAAAATCTGTATTGTTAAAGTTACAGAGGATAGCTACCTAAAATATTTCCTCAAACACAGAGACAACATGACTGCTATAGCTCTCACTCTTTTAACTTTGGGGATAATAAATAAACAAATATATAATGGTGGAAACAAATCCCCTTAATATGATTTAAAATTAACTAAAGATGATCTTAAACATGATACAGCACTGTACGAGTTTTCTTTACATCAAAAGTATTCTTCATCTTCCTATTATTATTATTTTAAAGTAAAGCCTCGATGGTCCAGGACAGTTTGGCCAAAAGTCCGGACCATCGAAATCTATATAAAAATGCATTACATACGTCTATGACACACAATAAATAATCTTCCCTAAAACTATTATACAGTACAATGACATTAAAGGTCCATTTGAGGATATTTTTATGGTACACCAAACACTTCCTTACACCTCTACCCTGCTTCATTGATACACAATACAGGGACTGTTATAAATACTACTACAGCACAGTACGTATTGTCATTATATTATTATTATTATTATTATCATCACAATCATTATTACATTATATAATTATTATTAATTCAAGGACAGGTGAGCAGAACTCACCTCATGTTTCTGAAGTTGACAGAGAGATTCCAGTTCCTTGATGCGGTCTCTGGGCACCAGCACTTGAGTATCATTATCTGAAAGACAATAATACATCAATCAATAGGAAATTTAACCCTTTACTGGCAGCTTAGGATTGATGTCTCCCCCACATATAGAACACAATGAACATAAAGCTTTCACAGATGATGGCCACCGTCCCTACACCTAACCTCCATTGAAGAGTACATTGGTAAATAGGTATATTCAAGGAAGGACAGTCTAAGAAAGCTGAAAACTCATTCTCATCAAGGTTGTCATGTAGGTTTGGAGCGGTCCGACTAATTACCCAAATGTACCCAAATGTAGCAAAATGTAGCCAGAAATTCCTTCACCTGGTTTTGGCTATTCTTTAGGTAAGAATTAAACAAGTTTTCTTTAATACAGAGAAACCTTTATATAATGGACTGCTCTCTCCATATAATCACTAACATGGGGGGGGGTCACATATAATGGATACTTGCTATAAAGGACATTCATCTCTATATAGGTCATTACATGGAGAATTCACATCAGATGGACCCTCAATATAACAGACTTTCCTCTCCATACAGTCCATTAAAGAGAGGTCTCACTGTAAATATTTTCATGGACATAAAACAAAGTATTTGGACAAGAAATAGTTATCACAAATCTGGTTTGTTGTTAGGTTGTGGGGCTGTTGTTTTCTATATATCAATAATCTAGGTGTTACTATCGATCAATGTTTAGTAATGATGCACTAGTGAATATTTATCCCCAAAAATGAAATCAAACACATTAAATCATTTCCACTAGAGATAAAACCAATAATTACGTTCCTTATGGTACAAAAAACTTAAGTGAGGTATCTTAAAGTATAATTAGGTGTTAGGTAGACAGGAGAGAGTGGTGGCGCCCCTCTTACCTTCAACATCTTCGACGCCCTCTGACAGCACCTCACGGGTTAGGTTAGACAGCTGGCCCTTGAGGCTGCTGAGGCTGTCGTTCAGGTTCACCCCCAGCCAAGACATCCTTCTTGTGTCTACCAGAACTTCCCTTGGCTCGCTACTACATGCCAACAGCCATTAAAGAAGGATATAATACACTTTGCCACACTATGAAGGCAGATATTGTAACACTCCTCCCTGCCAACTCGGCAATGTTTTGGTGTCACTCAACTCCGGTCATACGTCTTTTACACATGTTTCTGCTTATTTAAAACTAGTATTCTTTATTCTGTATAGTACATTTTATATTGCTTAAATGAAGGTTGTACCTTTGATGAAATTACTGACTCGAGAATACTATTGATTATAACAATAAATAACAATAACAGAATTGATAAAGATGTATTATGGCAAAATCAGATGTAATAATTGACATATATAAGATGAACACTAACAACAACGAGTTAAACAACATTAATTTGGTGACTTTCTGGGGGAAATCTCTCGTCAACAGACTTAAAATATGTCAAATAAAATACAATAGCATCCATGTTGTTAATTGTCCATAGCAAATACAAAATCAGCACTGATTAACTCCAAGTTCCACATGAAAAAATGCCAGGGCAATAAAAAAATATAGGTTAGGTTAGACTATAGAAATCTTTGTAGACGGCACAGTATAGTAGCACCAAAATATACATAATGCAGATAATTGATTTAACGTGATAAGGATTGTGATGTCTGCCTATATACAATGGCATTCAAAACCTTTCTTTCTCCAAGTAATGCATTTTTTTTTTAATTCTTCAGGTAGAGAGAGCAAACGTGTCATTATAATGCATTAATGTAATCAATCAGTCGAACACAAGACAAAATTTCTCTCTAGACAACTTCTTTGGGATATAACTGATTGAAACAACATAGTTTTTACCAAAGTCTCTCTGTATACCTTCCCTAAACACTTTCTTTTTACTATACACTACCTGTATATACATCCATGTATTAATCCAGTTATATATATCAATCTATCTATCTGTCAGTATATCTCATCTCACTCTACTGTATATATCTATCTTTTTGTTTCTCCATCTGTCTTTGTCTTATCTATATTCATAAATCTCTATACTGCATCTGTCTGTCTGTCTAACTCTATATCTGTGTATCATATATCTGTCTGTCTGTAACTGTCTGTCTGTCTGTCTCTATATCTGTCTGTCTGTCTCTATATCTGTCTGTCTCTAACTCTATATATGTCTATCTGTCTGTCTGTCTAACTCTATATCTGTCTGTCTCTCTGTCTCTATATCTGTCTGTCTGATCTGTCTGTCTGTTTAACTCTATATCTGTCTGTCTATCTAACTCTTATATCTGTCTGTCTAACTCTATATCTGTCTGTCTGTCTAACTCTATATCTGTCTGTCTCTCTCTATATCTGTCTGTCTGTCTGTCTGTCTAACTCTATATCTGTCTGTCTGTCTAACTCTATATTGTCTGTCTATCTAACTCTCTATAACTCTATATCTGTCTGTCTATCTAACTCTATATCTGTCTGTCTGTCAAACTCTATATCTGTCTGTCTGTCTAACTCTATATCTGTCTGTCTATCTAACTCTATATCTGTCTGTCTGTCTGTCTATCTAACTATATCTGTCTGTCTGTCTGTCTATCTAACTCTATATCTGTCTGTCTGTCTAACTCTATATCTGTCTAACTCTATATCTGTCTGTCTATCAAACTCTATATCTGTCTGTCTGTCTAACTCTATATCTGTCTGTCTGTCTAACTCTATATCTGTCTGTCTGTCAAACTCTATATCTGTCTATCTCTCTCTCTACCGTGCGACAACCACAGTACAGCAACTCCCTAAACCTGTACGATATACCACCAGCTCTCACACCGCCACCTATCGCCAGAGGTCTGAACCAGCTCACCGGAGACCCGATCAGGTATTACATTGGAGAATTTTATTAACTTTATCGCTTTTGTGATCTTTCCAGCACTGTTAATAGAGATAATTGACCTCAAATTGAATGATAGTAGCGTTATATTGTCCAGGATAGTGATTTGGGTTATTAGTAATGGGGTTAATATTTTTTTAAAGGGTTGAATGTAAGCAGCAGACGATCAGGCAATCAGCTGACTACTTAAGACTAGTGTTCTGGGTTATTTAATGCCATTTATATTCTTTCATCTTGGGTATTTAGGGTATTTAGGGTGATTATGTCTTTGGTGTTTAATTTAAATGTAAAGTGTAGAATGTATGTGATTTGGTGATTGTTTTTATCATCGCCAAAGCTCACATTCTGATGATGTAGTTTTACGTATATTTAAAGTAAGTTTGTCTTTTTTTCTTAATCATGTTTATATTATATTGCCACAAAAAATATAGAAAATAGTCCCTTGTCAACACTAAGTATCTATATCTTTACCTTTGAGCAAATATTAAAAAAATATATATCACCTGAACATTAGCTACCCCAACCTATTTCACCTTAAGATTAATCACCCCACGCTAAACCAAACTAACCCCCCTTCAGGAATAGGTTGTAACGGGATGGTAATAAGTGTCTGTTACCCTGAATGTAAAATATTATGTAACTACTGTACTGTATTTACAAGCTTCCAAGGACAATGGCAGATAAAGGTCAAAATAAGAGGTGGGATAGATGGTATTTTGTTACCATACATTATTGCTTCCCTCTTTACTTTACCCTCACTATTGCACATAAGTTAAATGTCAACTGAAGGCAAGATGGTGGTTACTGAGGCCAGAGCTGACGATGACCAGCAGAACCAACCTTATCTAACTTAACTTGACCCAATGCTTTTTAATTTATCAGGTCGTCTTTCATCAGCTTACAAACCATTCAGGTCTTGGGTCTGTTTTTGTTTGGTTAGGTTGGTTTATTTTGTCTCGTCATTAATGCTTTAGTCAGTTCTGGGTCCAGTAGCTGTGGAACACCCACACAAAATTTAAAAGGAATTCGGTATAATGATCCTACACAGTCAGTTGGTACACGTGTTACTTATTCAAGTGATGCAAATAAAGTCTGCTGAGTGACAACTAATTGATAGATTTGAAATTGGCAAAATAAACACACAATTAGTGGGAAAGAACTTGGTGAAATTAACACTCAATTGGTAGAAAAGAACAAAGCAAAATTATCACCCAATAACATTTTGTGCAGTATAAAAAATGGCTTATTTTTCTCTATGACTTTAAAATCCCAACAGTGCATGTATACACCAGTACATATAGATATTTTAGACACCCCCTCTACATATGCTCATTATTATTATTTTGCAGCTTTCTTATGGTACAATTTATGTTCCCTGATGTGTATTAGCACTGTATGTATGTTATAACATTAGTACAGTATAAGAAGATATCCTATTCTCATGTTACTACTGTATAGCCAAGAATGCCACATGTTATACACACACACATTTGAAAACAAGTTGTGATATGCCTTACTGCTGAAGTTTGACAGTAATCATAATCAAACCACAACCGAGTCATTTTCTGTGTTTGCATGTGTCCGTGTTTTTAATATTACCTTGTGTATACCCACGTTGTACACTTGTCTGAAAAATATTTATGCTTTCAGTGCCCCCATCCTCCCATTTGACGAGTTTTTGGATCGCTACAAACCCAAGATGACTGGAAGAACGATGAAGTACCCCTACACCTTCACTGCTAAGCTCGCTTCATTCCCCTACAGCTACATCCTCAAGAATGTCTGGATGTGCAAATATTACCTCGCTGGTGTGGTTCTGAGCATGCCTCTCTTCTACAAGATCCAGCAGCTTTGTGAGTTTCTCTTTAGTGTCTTGAAAAAAAGTTCTTCTGAATATTTATGGTTTAAGTCTCCATAAGTTCTAACTAACACCAATATATTCCCTGACCTATTTGTTCCTTCAGCTCAACTAGTTTCCGAATTACTGTCTTCATCCTATTATACCACCTCATAAGCTTGGCTCTCTGTTTTTCGGTCCTTAGTACCAATGATGTACTGTATGTGGTTTTATAGTGGGTTCTCAGATTCGTTTTACCTCTACTATTGTATAAAGATAATTGTCCAGTGTTGTTTTTAAATTTTGTCTTTATGCCAAATAAATATCGCTATTTCTTCTAATTTAAATGTTTCCTTCCAGCTAACTCTCCAGCCAATGTAGCCAAGTTTGAGGCGAAGGCAAAGGCCGAGGCAGCAGGACATTAAACTAACTTGGCTAAGTCTCCATCTTGGGGTCCATCCTTATTAAAAATGTTCCATGTTCAGCACTGAGTGTCTCACAGGTCTTGTATAAATTGTATGGATATAAATAAACTGTAGATTTTATTTACAATTTTGTTTTCCCCAATAACCTCTTCACTATGAGACTTTTATTTTTGTATTTGGCTAATACCTGATGATTTTAATCAGCAGACACCCCCCCCCCCCACCTCATACACGAGTAGTTAGTAAACTATCTCCACTGAACCCTTCACTACATGATGCAGCTTTACTATTTTATTCAGCAGAGAGGCACACAATGGGTTAAGCTAAATTACTGACAAAAACTACTTTTTGTTATAAATACATAATGAAGGAAGATGTATTTCCATACCTGGTAATTACTTTAAGGTAGAACTGTTTCCAAACCAGGTAGTGAAGGAATGACTCACCATACATGATATACTGTAACCTGTAATGAAGGAGAGACTTAGTTACTAACGTCATTTAGTCATAACTGGAAGTGTATATACTTGTGTGGGGGATACTAAGTCACCTTTAGTGCCAGACACCACAATGATTGTGAAATGGCTGGCCACTCCTTCAAGGCTTAGTCTAAAAAATTTACAGGTAGTTAAAAAAAGGTAAGGTGAACACACAAGACATATTTAAAATAAAGTTTTTATTGGGCATGTGTAATGACTTCCATCTTATTTCACAAATTCTTTCCACTGGCTAATAATTTATAAGAGCAGAGTTTTGGATAATATCTTTAATTTTAATATTAAATATTTTTATATTCTTTACACATACATTTTGCATAACAAATACAAATGTACATATATTTTGGTATGCTTAAATTATTTATTATATTGTTAGGCCTCTTACACAAGCATATTTTGTTGTGAAACAATGGAGTTCAAAACATGTCCGTCCATGTTTAAGGTTCCATTAAACTGCATTAATTTCTTAAGTACAGTACAGTACCTGTGTGAGAGGGGCCTTAGGGCGAGACATGGTAAAAGTGTAAAGCTCGTGGTACATAAAAATAACACACAAGCTCCATTACTATACAAAAATATCTAAATTTCTTTGGCTTATTTGTTTCTTATACTTTACTGGGTAATGGTAAATCTATGCCATTATCTTCCTTCAGCTGAACGTCTTGGAGAAAGGATCTAAATGTATGTAGGTGGAACAAAGAAATGACCTTTATTCCATTTTGAGATAGAGGTTGTATTATCATCAAAATATATATTCCTTATACCAGTCAACTTTATTTAGGAACTAGGGATATTATGGCTTTGGTGAACATCTTGACCATGAACAAGATAGCTTAGTGAGGTGATAAACTGTAAACCAAACTTTATATTCACATTAATGTAAACCTTTCTAAGTTGATATGCTCCATGACAGACCAAATACAGTAGTCACATACGAAATACTGTAACATCTTGCTGTAGCCTGTATATTTAGTGGCAAAAAAAAATCTAGCACTAGTTGTTGACATGTGAGCACAAACACACACTTACTCTAAATACTCTAGAATTTGGTTTGATTTAGTTCATATTAATTTCCTTCAGTTACAGTAGATTAGAAGAAAAATTTATTCTTGGGATCAGTTTAAGTTTGCTTTCAGAGATATTAGGGAAAACACACTACACATACTTACTCTTAAGGGTGCATTTGTTTTGGTAGGTAAAGGGGCGAAACATTTTCAAGGATACACACACTAAATCTTTTGTTTGTCATGTTGGCTGGACAGAAACCTATCCAATTCACTCCATAAATTTTAATAAGTTTGCCTTGCCAACTAGCTACATCTGTTCCACCCCAGTCAGGTTAGCTTGGATTATGGTATACACTGGATAAATAGCTTAGTTGGCCATATATAAGCAGCTTTGTTGGCTACATATACATAAGTATCAGCTACATACAGATAACTTTGGCCACTACATATATTGTCAACTACATATAATTAACTTAAAAGTCAGTTTAACACATACAGACCTCTGTATACTCAATACATAGAAAATGCACAATTGTGAGAATTAGGCACCCCAGTTTATTTTACCTGATGATTAAAGACCTTAACATTACCAGGAGGGAGAAGAATTTAGATTATGCTAGGTTAGGTTAGCAGCTAGGCAGTCACTTTGAGTTAGGTTAGCATTAGGGTGGTTAATCTTACGACGAAATAAGCTGGGGGCTAATCTTCAGGTGATCCCTGTACAGAATCAGTAAATTACATACTGTAAGTGTAAATTGGATTATCAGCACAGATATAACATTCAAGTACAATTTTAAATAAATAGTACTTACAATAGTTAATACATTCTTAAATATATTTTACCCGGTCTTAATTCAGAACTGATTAATAACATTTTTATCTACTAAGTATGGTAACTCCATCTCTGCCTTATGCTAATGATCAACAAGAATTGAAGAATATTAATTTTACAAGAAATGCTGTTAAAACAATACAAGTATACTGTATTTGTTATTTTTTTTGCTGTTACACCCATTCTAAATTATTTAAGCAGACAGATTTTTCTACAATCGCCTGAAGATTAGATACTCCAGCTTATTTCACCTGAAGATTAACTACCCTAATGCTACCTTGGGAGAGTTAAGATTACCTTACATTAACATTGGGTTAGGTTTGCATTCAGGTGGTTAATCCTCTGGTGAAATATGCTGGGGTGTCTAATATTCAGGGTATCCATTTTCTGTAATAAAGGTCAAGAGATGGTAAATTGCAACAATTGATGGGAACGTTCGTGTGTGTTGTTCTCGGTTCCAGCCACACACAGGGCTTGCAAGAGTGGGAGAAATACACTATAGCAATAACTTCTGTTTCTATAATCTTAGTTGTTTTGACATAATGTATCATTAATTACATATCACTTAATAGAGTACTTAGGCATAAGGCTGTGCAACATAAGTGAAAACTTATTGATCTGAAAAAGTTGCCACTATTTGTTTACTTATTAAATATGTCGTGATGTTAAAAAAAAAAAAAATATCTATACTGTACTGTAAATGTGACAATTAAGATCATATGTTGCACTTTGTTAACAAGGTATGTACAATAAGAAATAAGTTTGAGAATCATGGCCCAATAGATGCAATTTTTCTGGGCTGTGTAAATAGCTTAAATTATGTGGGCATATTTAACAGGACGTTACTAACACTCACATAGTGAATACAATGTATAAGCACTGTAACTTTGCATTATAGTGCTGTAAATGTGGCCACTCAAGTATAGTGTCTACATCACCATCCAAACCATAGTGACATCTGACGAGCTATTTTACGGGATTATTTACTATACTGTACTTACCACTTAACTCCCATAACCTTCCTTCCTGCATGGTTGAGCTAACATATGGTATACAACCTGTGTTACATAATGATTATTTTTGCCATTATTTATTCCATTACTGTAAACATCCCTTAGTTTATTATAATTTGTTTTAATTGATCATTTTCACAACCTGTCAACATACTAGTCCATCAGGCAGCCAGTCCTGTTGTTCATCGCCAAACTTTCTTCTTGAACATTTTCCAATCAGTATTATTTCCACTGCCTTTATCCTTGACAGCATGTCTTGGTTCATGTCATTAAGTTAGGGTCTTTTTGCATATGGTTTATCACTGCCTAACTCTTATTGCTATTATCTTACTGTATATGCCCTCATTAATAAAGGTACAATGGTCTTTGAAAATTGTCTCTGGCGGGGACACAAATATATACAGTACAGAAACTTGACCAAACAGAAGTGGGTTTTGATGATACTTGGGGATCACCTGAAGATTGGCCCCCCTCCCAGCTTAACCACCATACCATAGCACTACTTAGGTTAGGTTAGGTTAAGTTAGGCTTGATTAGGTAAGCATTAGGGTGGTTAATCTTTGGGTGAAATAAGCTGGGAAAGCTTATCTTCAAGTAATCCAAACTTGGTACTTGGATGGGATTACTTGAAGATAGCCACACCAGCTTATTTATTTCACCTAGATTAACCATCCTAATGCTACCTGTGGGGGGGGGGGGATTAGATTAGGTTGGGTTATGTTACTGTGGTTAATCTTCAACTGAAATAAGGAGAACTCTCTTGATAGTCAGTTACATTGGCCTATTATGTACTTTCCCATTTCTCAATTCCTTACCCCATCTTTCCCACCTCGTCTGCCATTCTGCCATTTTTCATCTACCTTCTACTTTTCTGGCATTTGTTCTTTTTAGCCTTTAATTCAGTTTAGCTTTATTTATCAGCATAGCTTTCGAGCTTGTTGTGTAATTCTTCTTATTATTACTTGCTTTTATTCTTATTTTTCTTTCAACCTCACTGATTACCTTTTGTGTATAGCTTTTATTCTTTGTTCAAGTCATTCTTCACAGTTTTGTGCTTTTCTTCATAATATTTAGCTTTGGATCACAGTAATTCACTTTTGTTCTCACTAATATTTAACTTTGATTTCACTTCTTTGTTTCTCTTGTTGGTATTAAGCTTTTGTTCTCACAGCTTAAAATTTTCTCTCACTCTTTAGCTTTTGTTTCAACCTTCGACTCCTCATCCTTCTCTATCTCCTTGTTCTCCTTGTCCCCCTCCTTCTCGCCCTCTTCGTTCTCCTCCTTCTTAATTTTGGCCGGAGTGGTAGGTTTAGGTCTGGGGTCCATAGAGAGATCCAGAAGCAGCTTGCCGATGTTACGCCTCTCATGCATCTTGGCCATGGCGTCGGTCACCTGTAACGTACAAGTGGCAAAGCCCTTTCATTCTCTTAAATGCATAACATGATCATACCTAGTGGAAATGAGCTTCTGATGGCCTTGTTAGGTATTCTTTGTTGAGCTGCCTTATTGTTTGTATACCTGCACTGTATGTACATTGCTAGTATTTCTGCAGTCTAGGTTCATTATATACCTGCACTGTCTAGGTACAGTATACCTGTATATATGCATGCATGATCTACTGTATATTGTACACTGTACCTCCACTACCTATAGGCAAGCTGAACTGTATACCTGCATTGTCTATATACATGCTTAACTGTATACAGTACTTGCATTGTCTAGAAGCATGCTGAACTGTATACCTGCATCATCTATATGCAAGCTGAGCTGTGTATCTGCATTATCTATACAGTATACATGTTGAATCAATGTAAACTTGTATGATGAGTTTACTAAATGAATACAGTATCCATCTATCTGATTTTAACCAAACTTGTCATACTGTACGTGGATTTATCACAACACGAGACGAGTTAAATAATAGGTTCTTTCCCTCGTTAATGTCAGTGTTATGATCTCTTGAGGTTCACTGTGGCTGAGGCCTTGGTACCTCGACTGTTAAACCCTTATTTGGTTTATTCTTCATTTATTTATTTTGCAGTTGACTTTTCTTCTTCTTCATTTTATCTTTGTCTTTTATAACCTCTAACCTTAGTTTCTTATCTCTACAAACAATATCTCTTCCTTCCTCCATTGTCCCTCCCAACATCCTTCCCTCCTGAGCCTTCCTATGTCCATTCCTTTCTTCTCCCTCCCTACATCCTCACTTCCATCCTTCCTCAACCCCTAACTGGTGGCTAAGAATTCCCTACTCTTCCCTCACATACACAAAAATTGAACTAAAGGAACAAGTAACGTCCACTGATGATGGAAACCGTATAAGGATTAAGCACCGTACTTACATCTTCGAGAGCGTACGTAGAGTCAATGTGGGCTTTAGCGACTCCTCCCTGCCACAGCTTGTACACGGCTTCCACCACCAGCCGCACTCTTTCATGGCCACCGGGCTGATGGGTTGAGATGATGTTAATGCACCGCAGTACGTGGCAAACATCAATTGATAACATACTAACACTGTATGGTAAATTCATCAATCTTGAGTGAATTTTGAAGTGATGTTTCCTTGTTGCAAATTCACTAATTGAAGTTTCTATTTATTGCAATTAATTTTTACGACCAGATTATTTGATTAATTCAATGCATTTTGTTTTAATATTAGTTAATTATTATTATCTGTACTGTATTAATATTTCCTGTACAAACTAAGAAATACACACTTCCACACACCTGCTTCTCTCTCATCCTACCTGATGATGAAGAAGACGACGAAGGTTAAAGCCAATAATTCCTTTATTATCTTCATAAAGCCTCAGGGGAGACACCTTATCCACCTGCCACCACTGCAAACAAACTGACCATTAGAACTGTGAAGGTTTATACTTGTATTATAATTACTGTTACGGATCACAACAGTAGGGGGATCGAGAGATAACCTACCATACCACTTGAGACGATTCCTAAATAGACAACTGACGATTTAACCTATTCTAACCTAACCTAATCATATAAGTGAAATAGTAAAAACTGCACAAGAGAGATGATCGTTCATGGATGTTGACACCGACTCGGATATCACGAATGTTGTTTAGTTAATAAGAACTATATTGGTCCACTTTACGAAATTTACTCTCACTAGAGGCTGTTTTTGTCCTTCTCTTGGCCACTGTTGGCATAAGGACCCTACTGGAAATAAGAATCTCATGGCTTTGTTGGTTATCCTTGGTCAAAATGACAAAATCTCGGTTATTAGGATCACACACACACTTACCGATTTAACAACACTGAGGATACTCTTGGTCTCTCCTGTCACGATGCTTGAGGATCCTGTAAGTCAGAATTCTGGTATAAATACACTACTTTACTTTGATCAGTGGTGAAGAGGATACAAGTAAAAGTATACAGCTTAAATACTCGTGTAAAGATTATAATCTTTTGTCCATTGGGGTACAAGAAAGTAAATAAAGCTTTGTTGTCTCACGATTACATTACTGCGTCTTGGTCTTCACATTAATGAGTACTATACTGTATCTATGATGATACATACCAAAGAGAATATATCGCCCCAGTGGTTTGAGTAGAGCGTAGCCTTTGTTGCATTCATCGCCTCCCTGACAGTCTAGGACTATGTCAACACCATCTGGACACACTCTGTTGATATTAATTTTGGACAGTGAAACATGGCCAGTTAAAGAAGATGACAAACAGAGGAATGAGTGAACTGATATGAGATCAAGATGGATATGCAATGTGACACTAAGATAGGAAACCTTGTTCACAGTTAAGAGGGCAACTGGGTATTGTGAGTACAGTATTGGTGAAGAGACAAACCGAGATGTTTTGGGCATGTGGAGAGAATGAAGGAGGCCAACTGGGTCAAGAGATGCACTAGTTGAAATGGGGAGAGGAGGATAGCCAGGGGTAGGCCAAGAATAACATGGGGAAAAGTTACAAAAAATGACAAGACACTGCATAACAAGGAGAGCTGCCAACAAGTAATCACCATTAACTGACACAAACATGGTAAATGGCTGTAAAGATACTGCAGTGAAAACTCTATTTATCAGACTACATACAGTATAGAGGAACGTCCGTTATACTGTATAAGAGACCCCTCATATAACGGTTTACATATATGGAGAGAGAAGTCCGTTCTATGGAGATTGCACTAACACAAAAACCCAAACTTCAAATCTCAATTTACTTCTTAACTTCAGTTGTGATGTCACTGCCACGATCAATAAGGTGAGTGACAGATGTTTTGATGTCGTCGTGCTTGTTTTTTGATGCTATGCCCACTACAGTGACTCCACCAATGTTCTGTAGCAGAGCACACACAGCCTGGCCCTGAAATATTAAGAATTACACAATACCAGACTTTGATTCCAGTGTTTAGTTCACCGAATGTTTTTGATGTCATAGGCAGTCAAAGTAGCCTTGTTTTCAGTTTGCTTCAGTCAAAATGATCTTAATAATGATCTCTATAAGCTTAGGTTAGGTTAGCATCAGGGTGTTTTAATCATTAGGTGAATTAAGCTGGGGTGCTTAATTTTCATGTTATCTATACAGTATTAGACAAGGTAAGGTCAGGTTAAGCTAGCATCAGGGTGCCTAATCTTCACATGATCTCTATTTGATTAAGTTAGGTTAGGTTAGGTTAACATCAAGGTGAAATAAGCTGGGGGGCCTATTCTTCACGTGATCTATAAAAGGTATATACAGATTCGACATCCTTACCACAGCACCACCGGCAGAATGGAGCAGGACGGTGTGGCCAGGAACAATATTAGCCAGGTCGTGGACAAGCATATACGCAACCGTGTAGCTTAGTGTCACGGCTGCTGCTTCCTGTATGTACAAAGATAAGGGTGATTAGGCATGTTACTTGAAGCAGGCCAAAAGCTTATCCCAGTGAGTGTGTACGTGTGTGTGAATGAGTGTGAGTAAGTGAATGAGCAAGTCAGTGAGTGAGTACCAGTGTACAGTAGAGTATAATTACATCAATAATTCTTGTAAACAATGGAAGATTTGTTTATTCAGAGGTAATAAACCACACAAGCAACAGTTAGCTTACCTGCAGGGGCATCGTCTCTGGCACGGAGTAAACATATTTGGCAGATACAGGTACAAGTTCAGCCCAAGCACGATGATCAGGTAATGCCACAACCCTGTCCCCAACCTGTGGACCAAAAGACTATACTGTAACGTGAAATAACCAATAAAATAACCAATAAAAGGAATTAGCCATTTATCACACGAAGACCTCAGTAATGTTAGCACAGTAGTTGTGGATTCATACATTATCTATTTCCATTACACCACTCTCAAAGTCTTCACAATACCATATACAGTACTCATCACGACTTTTGCCAGATCATAAAGATTATACGAGCATTGCAAATCTATCACACTAATGCACCACAACTTACTACAGTACTACATCAATGCGTCCTAGGAATACAAACAATAAAACACTTAAGATTTCTCATGGCCTCAGACAGAGAGAGAAAATCACATGACTGCAGACATATGAGAGTACTAAACTTGAGTCGGATCACCTGAAGATTAAACACCCAAGTTTATGTCACATGAAGATTTAACCACCCTTATGCTGCCTGGGAGTTAGGTTAATTTAGGTTAGATTAGTTAGGGTGAGTGATTAATCTTCTGGTGAAATATTAAGCCAGGGTGTCTAATCATTAGGTGATTCCATAGGGCCAGAGTCACTTTACAGTACAGTACCTTGAAGTTGTCAACGTCGTCAGCCACGGCCTCCACAATCCCAGCACACTCGAAGCCCAGGATGAAAGGCGTCTTGGGAGGGGCTTCTGTAACACCTTGTCTCACCATTACATCTTGGAAGCTTACACCACTGACGGGCAAAAGAATGAAATTAGATCATATGAAGATTAGGCATCCCAGCTTATTTCACTTTAAGATTAAAAATCCTAGTTTAATTCGCCTTATAAGATTGGGTACCCCAGTTTATTTCACAGTAAGGTTGGGCACCCCAGCTTATTTCACCACAAAATTAGGAACCCCAGCTCATTCCACCACAATATTAGGCAGAGTTGATGTATGTGATATGGTTGGCGTAGTTAAAATGCTTGTGTAGCGTAACGAGGGGCCGTGTTGTGATCTCGTCTGGGTGTGGTGTATAATTTTTTCTACAGGATTTACAATCATACGGTAATCACAAGAAACCCATAATAAACACGAGAGCATCACATTAGCTTAATAATAACATGAATAAACCCACCACGAATAGCAGTGCATTACCAATTAAATACTAACATTAATACAACCACCACGAGTATCATTGCACCAACTACCATATGGGCCATTCCCTTCTCTCTCTGTATAAACATCAACTATTATGATGTTTTACTATTTTTTTTAGTTTAATAACAATTATCCCAGATAACTATAACAATAACGAATAATTTAGCGAATTACTAACCATAGATGGACGCGTACCACCACTTCACCATCTGCAAGCGCTGGTTCAGGTCGCCTGACAATCTTGACAGATTTAAGTCCGCCGAACCCGTTTAATATTACCGCTCTCATCTCCTTGGGCACCTCTGGTTCTTCAGTCTTCTCATTAGCGTCTTTGGTCACCTCTTCGACCTCGGCCTTGGCCTCAGCGGTGGCTTTAGAATTAGAATCCGTCATTTGGGTGTTGTGGAGACTTGTCAGCGAGAATTTACCAACAGGTGGTACAAGGCAGGCGCGGCCTCTTCCCTCCTATGTCTTAAACTGACCACGACTTACGCTCTATACCATTAAATAAATTACTATCAAATTAATTTACTTTATAAAATAATCAAATTTAATTCGTTTCTATTATATTTAACTACTTATTTAAACAGAGACCTGTTAAAGAAAATCCGTCTGCAAAATTAAAGGTTTATTGGTGGATGAAGACAAGCGTTTAAGACAGGGTGGTTCCATAGCGCCTGCGTTAATGGCCGCCGCGCATACTCCCATTTCCATTCATGTTTACTTCCATTATTCCATTCACCACCCCTTGACAGCTTAAATCAACCCCTCGCTCTATTTAAGGCAAACCTCTTCTGGCCTGCATCGTTCAGCTTTAAAGCATTCTTTTTTGTATCGTCAAGCTATTTCTGGCCGGCCTGATTTTACGTTTATATATTTTTATAATTTCTTTATCTTCGTCTTGTTTTTATCCCTTACTGAATATCCTTAGTTGTATATATTAGTATTGATCATCATTTTGAACTTTTTAACATAATTGTGAATCAGTGCCAACAAAAATAAAAGTGTAAATTTAGATTATTGATCAAAAGAATTTCCCCTCCACCGCTGCCTTCTACCATTAATGTCTGTACACACATCACATCTGTCTGTAATATTATAATGACCAACAGCTGGGTATTAACATTAAATGGACCGCCTGAAGATTTGGCACCACCAGCTTATTTCACCTGAAGAATAGGCACTCAGTACTAGTTAGACAGGCTCTTGTGTAAAAAAGTAAACCAATAAAACTATAGACTGAGATGACTGGCTAAAGATACATTTATCGAAGTAAATATTAGTTTTAAAGTGATTAAAAATACGTCGTTGCGGAATGATGTATAAAAGTTCCAGACTATTGGGGATCTACTTTTTGAAGTACATTACTTTTGTCAAATTTGAGGTCAGGATGCCCAAGGCCACCAAGTGCGGCCCTGTATAACTTACTCTTTAAGGGCCAATTACAAGATTTCGGCGACAACACATCGCTATTCCGTCACAATTTTTGCTTTTATTGTGGAAATGCCTTTTTTCGGAGTTAGGACTTGAATACAGTATGTAGCCGGGGACCGTCCGCACGCTGCATGCTTCCCCTACCATGGCTCTCCTGCGACTGACTCGAAAATTTAAATCTTTCGAGTATTGTAACTGATAAAATTACAAACAATATTACTTTAAGTAGAGGGAAAATGAGGGTGTTAAATACTAAAAAAAAGAAAAAAAACACTAAACAAAATTTTTAAAACGTTACCTAACCTTTCCTAACCTCTAAAAATCTTAAACTACAAAAAAAAACTTACCATATACATGTTTTCAGTTTATTTTCGGGTTTTAGTATGTGTTAGTGTTGTTTTCGGTGTTCAAATGGGGAGGGATCCATGGACTTTTAAGCGATTTCTTTCATCTTTACAAGTTAGACAATAGAAGCAGAAATAGTGATGTGAAAAATTTTGTTTTTTGTCAAAAGAAAAATGTAAAGACATTCTCTGCGTTTGTAAAGAAGTGTTTTAAAGTTACCGCTCTATGAGTCATTATTGTTTGCATAGGTCAATATGGAATCATAATTAAGATTTTCTTCTCTTTCTTGAGGTGGAAATAATTAATTAAAATAATCTGGATACTGACACGCAAAATATTTGAATTTATTCTTACTTTGAGACTTTTCCATATTAACACCAAATAATTATAGATTATCCAAAGACCATGGATATTTAAGATAAATATGTGCGAAGCCTAAAGAATAAAAATATGGCCTCCATCTTGCATTATCAGTGAGTTACAACAAATGTCCGTATCTAAAGGACTTTTTTTTCAGATTGGAATGATAAGATGTAAGTACAAGTAACATAATATATCAAAATAAGATCTTTCGATAATATGGTAATGACGATCACCTTCATATTTCGTTATACAATAGCTACTGGAAGGGAAGGTTGATGCTCTTATGTTTCTCTTCATCACCGACCGGAGAATCAGATTGTATCATTTGTTTTTACCAAATCTGAAGAAATTGTTATCAGATGAATCATTATATATCAAGATTAAAAACATATTTATTTAATTAAATTGATATATTGATATAACAATAACTGTTTTGTTTTATTAATTTGTATTTTTAGTTAATAAATTGGGTATAATAGTTGAGAGGAACAAAGAGAAGCTGAGCCGAGGATTGGGTATCACTGCCACAGGTTGCTGGTAACACTGTTGGTCGAGGTGTTTGACGACAACAGATCGAAACAATCACCAGTGAATGACTAGTTTATGACAAAACAGCGGCATAATGTCAGGCTTCGACGACAACCCCTTTGCTGATCCTTTCGCTGTAAGTATGTGACGTATCTGGTAGACAAGTGACCATCATTCTTTCAGATATAAAAGGAAAAATTACATTCGGGGCCAAGTTTCCCTAGGTGGTAGCAGCTGTAGTGTGTCATATGACGGTGAGGCAGCGAGTATGTCCTCTTACCTCATTATTATTCCTACACAATGAATTTACCAGATTTTAACTCATTTTATTGCAATTTATTTATATGGGATGCAGCAAAGTTAACCTTATGTGTTGGCAGTGTGTACTTTATGTTGTGTTATGTCAATACTATACTAGGAGGTCACCAGGAAAATAATATTGTAATGGAACTTAATTTTGCTGATTGTTTGTGATATTTAAGGAAATATAGGATAATTAATTTGGGTATTATTGTTTCAGTCATCCAGCGAATTTTACGATTTCAAGATTGGGTTGTGGTGGGTTAGGTTATTTTAGGTTAGGTTAGTTTAGGTTAGGTTAGGTTAGGTTAGTTTAGTTTAGGTTAGGTTGAAATTATGTTTTCCGATGGTTTTGATGTGCCTTATATCGTACAGTGATTGATTTTATTTGGTATTCATCTCGTGTACAGTAAATACAGTTTGTGTATGAACAACATTACAGTTATCATGCACTACATAATAACATAATTATACAAAACTAGATTGGATTACGCAAAAAGTAAAAAAAACTTATTTCTATGTGGGATGACTTGATAGTGTCTGGGAAAATATTCACAGGAAAAACTCGTATAGAGAGTTACAATTTGGGCTAGTACATAAAAGTGTCATGGGATATAGATGCACCCTTTAAATAACCTTCATAAAGTGTATCCAGCCGCCTAATGGCACATCTCTGCAGAGGAAACTTAATTCTTCCTTCAAGACTGAAGACACCCAGGTGGAGGTTTAGCATTTTTTATATTGAAGTTTTGTCCCTAGTTTTTCTTGTAAGTTAAAATGCAGCTGTCACCCGCATGCGTCACGACTGATGCCGTGACAAGAACGCTGCTCTGCTGCTAAGACGCAGCTGCCTCACCGTTCGTGTTTGTTACCAAACTAAAGTTGCCACTGCTGGTTTAGCTTCTGTTGCTTATTAGTATGATACATAATGGCATTATTATTAATATTAATGAAACCTTCAGATGAGGCTCACGTTAACAAGGTGGTGGCAGCCTATTACTGTTGGTGGCAGCAGTAATGCCTTTCTTTATGATAAAACCTGTCTGAAAAGTGTTATTTCTCCACCCAATTTGCTTTAGTCTTGAACTATAATTTTTTTCTTAAAACGAGTAACTTTTTCATGAGGTATTTGTTTAAGTTTGATAATTATACTTAAACATTACCAAATATTTGTCAAATTTGGTTAAGTTTGTAACTTTTTCCAAGACTCAAGGAGATAGACAGTTATTATACTCGTCCTCAAGTCACCAGAATTGTAGTATTAACAGTTTTGTTGGTGTTGCAGTAAAGACATTGTCTTTAACATAACTCCGATTCCTTTGTAGAGTTCATTTCTATAAGCGAAATATCCAAAACAGATGTAAACTTTAAAAAACCTCATGTATGGTGGCCATGAGGTTAATTTATTTATGACAATATTGCACAAGGTAACCTAATATACTGTATAATGATCTGAGCTTATTTGGGTTATAGTGTAGTTGGTTTATTTCTGCCAATTTCTACTCTTTTTGTCACATACTTTTATATATATTTTTGCTAAATTATGAGGAATATGTACTCAAACTACTGATTATCTGACAGGAACCTTCGATCCAGCAAGCTACAAAAGGCTCTGCTCCAAATGGCCTGGAAGAATATGATCCATTTGGCAGCCAGTCAGCCACCAACACCACCACCACAACCGTACGTACATAGTGTGTGTTTACCAGAGAATGTGATTTAAACTTGACATATATTCCGTCTCAACTGTGTGAAGGATGTCTTAGGGGTTTGTTGTGGAAGGGGTTTACCATAATAAAACACATGTTAAAAGTTATTGAAGGTATGAATGTGCAGTAAATGAAGGGAGAATGAGTAAAACTAGATATTGTGATTATAGTTACTACAGTACAATACTTTGGGGAATTATACTCTTTCATGACCTCCAGACATGCAAGGCCTTCTATAATTCATGGCTGTAATTGTTGTGTAATGTGGTGTTCTTGACCAATTATTGTGGGGTATTGCCAAGACCTGTGTAGTGCAAGTTGTGGTGCATGTGTTGTAACTTGTGTGCAGGATATGGAGTTACACACACACACACACACCTGTACTTCGGTATACAGTACATTGTTAACATGATGCAATTTGAGGAAGGGAAGTTACTTGAAAAAATGGAATACATTTAATTGCTTCATGCCTAACTGTGCAGTATCTGATAAAGACTGATAGTGTTATCTCAGCCATGTTTGTCAGAGTACATTAGAAGTTTATTGAAAGAAGAAATGTGGATATACTCATGGAATTATATTAAATTTGATAAAGAGTGATAAGGTTTAATCTTATCACAGCCACATGGTTATTTACCCACATAAATTTGAGATTGCATCTCCTTGGTGGAAAATTGTCTCATCAAATGTTTTTTCCTGTTTTTATAAGCCTTTTAATTACTGTTGTTTAGGCTGGCTGGGCAGGTGCTGACCCCACCCTTGTTAGCATGGAGCAGCTAGTAGGTTTATTCATTTGTGGCCGGGTCATTGTTGCAAGATGTTCAGCTATGTTTATTCAATCTCATGTCTGTCTATCCTAACATGACTGATAATGATTTACTTTTGATTTTTTTTTTCAAGTGCTGTATGATTGCTCTTGCTTGATATATTATTAATAACCCTCAACGATGAACACTAAATGATGTCAACTATAAGGATAGCAGCTAACATCAGTGGGTATTTTGTGCCCCTTGTACCCCATACCCACTGTTTAAAGGTTAGACATAAGAGTAAATGTACACAAGATGGGAGAGAATAATAAAAGATAATAATACACATAAAAATTGTACACACATGGATCAAGAGTGTTGTTAATTGTGTAAGAGTGTTGCTAATCAGGTTGTGGAATAGTGTTGTTAATCAGGTTGTGTAAATAATAACCAGATGATAGACATTGTGTTAGCTTTTTATCACCACAGGAGAACTTTTGAAATTTAGGATAGTGAATTTAGAAGAGTGAATTTTAGAGAACCTTGGGAGAGAAAAGGGCGTCATTATTTTTTCTCTGGCTGATAAAGGTTTTTTCTCTTGGCCTTATCTTCACTGCAACCTTCATGGATCGCAGGACACATTACCAAGCTCCAAACACAATCCTTCAAAGATTATTGCATATTATTTGTGTCTTGTGTGTCCTTCATATTTAGCTGATCACTATTTATTTGAAGGAATAATTGTTCCACCATCATTCAGCAGCTACTGTGTTATCTTTGGTCTAATGTTCATCCACCATTGGCAGGTTCACCCTTTTTGGGGGTTAGCTGGAGGGACGGCGGCCATCGTCGTCCTTGCGTTTCATTTTTGCGCTTATGGGAGACAAAGTAGGGAATCCTTAGCTGCCATTTAAGGGATAAAATGCATTAAAAAAGACATAAAATTAAAAGAAAGATTATTCAGAGGAGACTTCTTCATCCTGGCAGCTACTTTCAGAGAAGAATATTTTATTGAGACTTCCACCATACAGTAATAACCTCTCCACTCTGAATATCACAGGCGGTAATATTCCTTGGGCGACTGATGCTTTATACATAAAAGAATAAGTTGGTGTTTGAACCTTGTCTGGCTACAGAATTGTGTGTACAGGTGTTTCATGGATGTGGAGTTCTTGGTATTTTCCGAGTATGGGGTCTACTGTTGTGCTTTGCCTTCATTCTATTTGTCTTCCAGGCTGGCAACAATGGAAACCCTCCCACATACGTGCAGCCCACGGTAGGAGGCGGCGTTGGAACTGGCGGTCAGCCGGCAGTCGTCACGCCCACACCCAACAACCCCCCCGCATACACACCCTCGGCCCAACAGCAGGTCACCACTGCAGAGTTTCAGGTAAGTGTCCAGTCCTCCGCCACCTTGCTCCTGGCACGTAGATGACAGACACACGCATGTTAGGCCGTCACTAATGAGCTTACTGGTACTTTCTGTTGGATTCATCGCCTCTGATTCTATGATTAATTTTCTCCATAATTATTTCACTGCTCATATAGCTCTAAGAAAATAACTTACTGAGATGTTAATGAAAAGGATTTACACTGTATAAAAGTATGTTTATGCAAATTATTCTGTTGAAAATGTGAAAACTTTGTGATATTATGAGTAAGTGGTTATCATTATAAATCCTTGTGTGTTAAACAAGTACAGTACATATCAAAATGTGTTCTCTTTGTTGCTGGCATAGTTTTGTACTGTACTGTAGCGTGGTGTGTGCTTTGAAGTGGGGAAAAATAATGAGGCTAAGTTTCCTGTCCTTAAACATTTAAAGAAACGTGAAGTGTAGTACAGTGTCACCTGATGCTGTAAGGTGTAAGATGAACTAACACTTTTGGGGGTCAGTTAAGGTGACTGTCCCCAGTAAATATCTGAAAGAGATATAATTTTTATTTAATTTTTTTTTTTTTTGGGGGGGGGAATCTCTTATACTATGGTAGCCTTTATATAGCCATTGACAAGGTGCTGTATGGTAGATGTACGAAAGTTTGTATTCACAAGAAAAAAAAGTACCTCTACCCTTCCAGTTTACTTACTCGGTAACCATTGTTTTCTGTGATCCTCAAACTATCATGTTTAAGTAATTTATTTTTATTTATTATTATTTGGGGATTTAAAATATAATATGTAATACAATGTAGGGCAACTGCTATATCCTGGCAACTGGATAGGAGAACTGAACGACAGTGCGTCTTGTGTCCTTGAAGATAGTGTATTTGTGGTCGAGTCTTTCGCACTCTCAATCACTTCTCACAGTTTTCAGCCTTGCTAAGCTGTAGGCTTATCAGAGAGGCATTATTACTGCCAGAGGGATTCCAAGGAGGATGTAAGTTATAAATTTGGTTATTACCTCAAAATGTTCTGTAAAGGTGAAAAGTTCAAATAATATCTATTAAAACTTTTGTCTGTATAAGAACAAACTATTAATTTGAAAAAAAAAACCTTAAGGGGCAAAGTTATTAAGAATTGGACATAAACCCTATTGTGAGAGCTCAAACATCTTGTGTAAATTTAATAAAATCGATAAAAAAAACCCAGCACTTCCCGAGGACAGTCTCCTTAAAGAAGTGAGTTAGTTGATGGAATTACTCAGAGGTTCGCTTACTGAGAGTTATTAAGGGAACATAATGTTAATGAGGAATTGGTAAATGATGGAATAAAAATGAGTGGAATTGAAACAGACTAACAAGGTAAAATTTTGAAGTGTGTTTAGATGGAATACAGGAAATCCTGTAATGTAAAATGTGCTCCAGTGTTATGGGATGTTATCTAACCCGGAGAATGCATGTGGAGGATACAGGATTTAGATAAAGTGTGTGTGTGCGTGCATGCGTGTGCACGCGTGTGTGCGTGCGTGCGTGTGCACGCGTGTGTGCGTGCGTGTGCGTGATTATACCTCAGGAGTTGCAACATGGTGATTGATTATATTTCATTCCAGTAATAATGCATCAAGTTAATAAACCATTACTCATATCCACAAGAAATAGGAAAAACTTCACATGAGAGTCGAGTGTCTTGTATATATTCTATTACTTCTTTACTTTATAAACTGAAGTGTTATCAGTCTACCTCTTCAGAAATATTTGATCAGGTTAGGCAAATATTTGATGACTTTTCCTCCTCCTCTCCATTTGATGGCCAGGAATTAAAGGTGAGAACTCGCAGACTGCCAGAGAGCCCAGCTACACAAAGACCATGCATTATTAGTGCAGCAGAAAGGAAGTTATATTCTGTATTGCGTGATCATTTGAAGCTGTTTATGATTTATTTGTTTGCATGAGTATACACCAAGCAAACATGTTATGGTGCACATATTATTTCTTTTATTTTATGTTATTTATGTATTTTTGTTTTTGAGCTTTTTTTCTAAATTTGTTAATAACGTGCATGACAAATTTTCCATATTCACAATATTATACAAAATTAGATAAAGTGTTGGTCTAGTTAGAAGCTACTCTTAGACAAGCTATGTATATTGGCTCTTAATAACCTGCTTATATAGATTACAGTACACATTTTTTACTCATTGACAAGTTTATTTCTTTGGGTTCTCTTACTTTTTACCTTCACTCATCAGACTTGGGTTAACAGTATAAGCCTCAGTCCATCTATACAGTAAGAGTAGCTTCACCTCATAGTGGATCTGTCTTACTCTACTTGTATAGTCTTGTAGTGTTGTCCATATATTATTAGTAGTAACACACTAACCAACACCTCCACAGTGACTGGTATTCAGGAGTTATTTAGCTTCAACTTATTTCAGAGAGTAAGAAGAACTGTAGGTGGTTGGTGATGTATAGTAACTGTTGTCTTTAATGCTCGATGTTTTATTTGTTATTAGTCACGACAAGTTTGGTTTAACTCGCCTACCACCACGTACAGTAGTTCCTTATCATCACACATACACCGTTTCAAAAAATGTGTCCACCGCCTTACAGAGTTACATTGAAAATCGTGTGAATGCTTCTACTACACCAACAATATTGTCCTCTTCACTTGATAATATAAGAGGTCTTCCACAAATGAGGACAATTTTGCTGTTGTAATATTATCATTCAAGCGATCTCTGCAAGATTCTACAGCTGGTTACTTGTTTTCCTGGTATTTAGGATTAATATTTCACTATCAGCGGAGTATAGCTAATTTGGATTCTAAGTCACTGCCAGTCCATGCAGCTGTAAATTGGTATCTAACTTTTGAGTTGAGGAAATGAAGGTGATCAGGTGCAGTGCAAGCCATACTGAAGACTTAGTATACAGTGTTCTCTTTCCACGGTGTCTCTCTCTGGCTCTCATGTATTTATGTCTCACCTTTACTTCTTTTATCACCGTGTACAGTACCTGTATAAGCTTTGCACTAGGAAGCTTGGTAAAATACGTGTTGCATGTCGTGCTTATTTATAATGCGGTAACCAGTGATGTACTAAAGCTTAGATTCACTATATGTTTTTAGTACAGTAAAACCTCTATATAATGAACTTCTCTCTCCATGTAGTCCATTAAAGAGGGTTTCATATATAACGGACTTTCATACCTATATACAATAGTTTGTTATATGGAGGTTTCACGTCTAATATACCCTTGATATAACTGACTTTCCTCGCCATATATTCCATTAAATAGAAGTTTCACTATATATCTGTTTAATATCTTATACTTACACCATATACCTGTTATATTGTTATCAGTTATGAGTGTTTTCATTAGTAAGTTAGGACAGGAGTTAATGGTCCTGTATACTTAGATTTTTTTTACAGGAATTAATAGTTATGTCCTCAGGAAATAGGTATACAGGTAGAAGCCTTCAGGAAATAGCATATACTGTACTGTATTGTATTCGTAGGTGACTGTACTTGATGACATGTACACCATATTGTAACTAATGTCTGTTTTCTTGGTGTAGAGGCGACAAGAGGAGCTGGAGAAGAAGGCTGAAGAACTGGCCAGGAAAGAGGAAGAACTGCGCAATGCTGGCTCGGCCGGAGGTATGTGTTGATGGTGCACCGGCAGGGTGTTATATAAAATGTAATACATGCATCATACTTACTATATAACATACATCATATGTACTACATAACATACATCATATGTACTACATAATGTACATCATACACACTACACAACATACACAGGTAAAATAAATACATCGGAGGTACACACACATGTTTATACTAAGGCTCGTTCGTGTTATGTCTCAGCTTGACCCCCACTCACACACCCACACACCCACCCACCTGCAGGGTACACACACCTATAATAATAATAATAATCGAGGATGGCCGGCCCAAGGGCCACCTAGGTGTGAATTTGTTTAAGGTGTAGAAGCTGTCGCCAACACAACAACCACACCCTGAGTTAACGAGCTGCATGACTCAGTGTTAAGGAATAGTCCGAGAAGACCGGACAACTCGCCAACTGCACTGGCTAACCATTACCCCGGAACACGATCCGCAAATCGATTAACATCCAGGTTCCCAATTATTGCTGGGTAGGCAGAGGCAAATGGCGTAAAGAAACTTGCCCATAGTTTCACCTACACACACACACACACACCCACCTACATACCTACAAAGTTTTACTCTAAAAATACATATATTACCAAATTCTTTTCTTCATAAGGCCTCACGCACACACACACACACACGGTAATATAAATCAAAGGTGATTGTAGGGATGGTGAGGAGGAATAACTCTGGTAAAATGTGAAAAGTTTAGAGTATGACATGAACAGGTGTTGGGTGGACAGGTCAGGTGTGTGTGTGTAAGGGGGCCACAGGTGTTCAATGAGTAGTGGTATTTGTTTAATATTATCCCACAATTATTGATGTGAACCACGACGCCATTATTTATTGATTTTTAATATTCTGTATGGTAAACCTTTGCAATCTGTTCCATCTTGAATTAAAAAAAATGTAATAACCTTCTTCATTTGAGATTTATTGTCAGTTTTGTCAGATTTTGTCTTTTAGGGCATGTCATCAATGTATATTTTGACTATGCTTGGTGATTATAATTGTTTTGATGTTTGTTATAAAGTTAGAATTTTGGTATGTAAAGAACATCACATATAAGCATTTTGGTAAAGATGTAGTACAATATTTGTCATAATTATATCACTACAAACATGCTAACTGGCACCTTTAGACTGATACAAGTGCGGCTGCAGTTAGTGACTTGCTCATATTAGTGAGGGATGCCGTTACCCCCACGTTGCTGCCTCTGAACCCTTAGTGTGGTGTCCAGGTCACACGTTTACTCTTAAGGTTCCCAATAGTTTTGATTGTTTGAGATGCAGTTTAAGGATTTGCTGCAAAAGTGTTTCAAACAGTTATACAGTATTGGAGAAAACTGTCCAATGTGGCCATTTTCTGACTTATGATGATTCACTTTAATTTTGGTTTGAACATTTGCCTTCATAGTTTTTAAGTTCTTAACACGTGATTGTACACTTCCCTCTGAGGAATTATTCACTGATTGTTTTGAAATAATTGTAAATCAGTGCAAGAAAAAGATATTTATCTAACCAACCTGTGGAATGTTACCTTTGGAAGTGTAGTGATGCCTTAAGCGCACACACAACCACCTGAAAATGAAGTGGATATGGTTATGTTTGTGGTATATGTAATTTTTATAAAGTCTTCCCCAATCTGCTGGTAGACCATGGATTTAAAGACCAGTGTTATTAGTATTGGCACTGACAGAGGAGGAAAGTGTGTCGGGGGGGTGGAGATAGACAATGGGAAGTAAGGTGTCGAGTGAAGATCGAGGAGGCCGTCAACAAGAATCTGAGAGCATAGTGAGGCACACACATCAACAGTACCGTACAACCAGCGGGTTAAACGGCAAGAAACAAGTGTGTGTCATCCAGGAGACAAAAATTGGACAAAAGAATGAAGGAGAGTGTATGTACCATGAAGAGAGACAGACATGGCGTACGACACACACCCAGGGAGGGAACACCAGCACAGACACAACCTCGGTCAAGAGAGACTTAAGAATATCCTTCAACAGAAAAGATTTATCAGCACCTCTGGCCATAACTGTAGAGAGCATAAGTATGTAAATGGTCGGTCATCGATGAGGACTTACCTCTTAACAGGTGGCTTGGGATTCCTTACCCATAATAGATCAAGATAATAAGGTGTTCGTACTGTGACCAAGATGTGTGTTGTGAATGTGTGTCTCATTCATTCATCTATCTTTGTTTCTTCGTTCTCTTCCATGGGGGTAGATTATTTGAGATGGAAATCATTAAAAGTAGTAGTAAATCCAAGGGGAGAGTTGTGTAAGGTAGATGAAGGATGTGACAGAGTGCAAGACAGGTAAAGAGGGTGACAGGAAAGTATTGGAAGAAGTAGAATACACTCACATACAAGGGCTTAATTATTACTAGTCCCAGTTGTCTGTTGTATAAACATATTTGGTGTGATATTTGGTATGTCTAAACTAATCCATTAACCCCTTGTGTATGGGGTTCTCGATGTGTTGAATAAACTCTTCTGGTATTAGTTAAATTAAATATTTATACATTAGTGGCATGCCTTAGTGAAGAGGCTAAATAGTTGCCTTGTTCGCCATAATCAAACGAGCTACTGTACCCACTTGAAATGTTAATCTAAACTTAGTTACATATTAAGTAGTACTGGGAAGGATAAAGATAGGACAGATTAGTTGATAATATTCCTGCCTGTGCTGTAATATGTTCTCCATTGTTGTCTCTGCAGCTCGTCAGGACAACTGGCCGCCCCTTCCCTCATCCTTTCCAGTTGGTCCGTGCTTTTACCAGGACATCAACGTCGACATTCCCCTCGAGTTCCAGAAGATTGTCCGCATGCTCTACTATCTCTGGATGTGTATGTACTGTAGCTCTGTTTACCACTTTACTCACCTGGTATCTAAATCTCAAATATAGATAAACATAGAAATATTTATTCAGTAAAATTGTCATACAAATTTACAGTTCATTCAGCATACATATAGACAATTCAGGTATATAGATTAGTATCTATATAGTTTACACAAGTTTTTCAGTGATACTTTCTACAAGATCAAGTAGTTTTTACAGTTGTCACGCTTTTCATTGACGTTTTATACATTTTTTGGGGGGGTACAGTTCTAACACATTTTTCAGTGACACACCAAACAATTCCTTAATTATTCCCCGACAGTTCACGCTCTGATGCTGTTGCTGAACATCCTCGGTGGTCTTGGTATATTCATCATGATGAACGAGGGCAGCACCTTTGGCCTGGCGATACTCTACTTCTTCCTCTTCACTCCCTTCTCCTACGTCTGCTGGTTCAGGCCCGTCTACAAGGCTTTCAGGTGCGGAATACGTGTCCCCCCGTTGTTATTGTTTTTATTATTACAGTATTAGTGTTGTTGATATTACTGCATTATTATTATTTTTGTTATAGTGAAACCTCCATGTAACGGACTTCTCTTGCCATATAATCTGTTAGTTAGGGGTGGTAAATGTGGTCAAGAAAAGAGAAAAATATAAAAGTTTAGTTTGTTAATTTCAGAAATGACAGTTCCTTCAACTTCATGGTATTCTTCTTCGTGTTCTCCTTTCAACTGATCGTCAGCATAATCAACGCCATTGGAATTCCCCGCATGGGCAGCTGGTTAGTTACACCATTGATCGTTTGTCTTAAGATCTGTTCCTGGACATATCACTGGTGACTGGTCAAAAGGTCTCCACTTCTCATAGGCCTCAACCTATCCTAACACTTATGATTAAGACTCATTGTCTATATGTGACTTAGTTGTAAAGGGTTTGATTAGCTTGAGGTCTGTCGGGACTGATGGCCAGTTGATACGGAACTAAATCAGTAGAAAGTAGTTATGTACTATAGTCCTTTATGTTTTATAATGGAAATATTCATGACCAGTTCAACAACATTAATGTATTGTTACAATGTTTATTTTAAAGATTCAGAATTTGTTCTTAAGAATTCTTTTCATCATAGAGTTTTTGTTTTAGCTCTTTTTTGGGGATAATGTAAAGTTGTGTTAAAATATGATGCATTGCTTTACAGAACTGTACAGTGAAACCTCCATATAATGCACTTCTCTCTACATATAATCATTTAGAGTGCGGTTTCGCATCTAACAGACCCTCAATATAACGGACTTTCATCTCGATATAGTTCGTTAGAGGGAGGTATCATATCTAACGGACCCTTGTTATAATGGACTTCCTCTGCATATAGTCTGTTAAATAGAGGTTTCACTGTATATACAATTGATCTGTCCCATCCCATATACAGTACAGTATATGTAATAAATGGAGCAGCTAAAGTAGAATCAGTTTTAATTTCATGGTATTTTCCCAGTTTGTATCACCATTTAGCCTTCCCCACATAGTCAGCCACTATTATGTATCATACAGCAGTGAGATAAAGGTTATAATCAGTAATATGGTGATTATTTCCTGACACTTTAAGATTTATTCATTATTTGTAGTGAATTTCAGTTATATTTGATTTATTCATATGTAGATAAATACCTTACAGTTAGTGTTGTGTATCTTAATTACTGTATTTTGATATATGTAACTGTGTTTATATTATTGTGTTACAAGCGGCTTCATCCTCGGACTATCCACTTTGGGTCAAGACAATGCCCCGTCTAACTACATTGTTGGCATCATTGTGTTCATGATCGCTCTGGGTTTTGCTGCAGTAGCGGCTATTGATGCCATCCTCCTTATCAAGGTAGTTTAGGCAGGTCCATCATGGGAACCTTTTCTAACAGACCAGCTGGACTTAGCGATGGTCTGACTTGTGTGGTACAGGACCTCGAGCTTCACAGTTCTTGATGGTGGTGGGGGTAATGGTAGCGGCATGCACTCTACTCCCTTACCTTATGTTATCCTCTCATGTGTCAGGATACAGGTTATGTGGATCACCTGGAGATTAGACAACCACAGTTTGTTTCATCTCAAGTTGAACCAACCTTATTCTGACCTGACCTGACTCCCTCGGGTAGCGTTAGGATGGTAAATCTTGAGGTGAAATAATCTGTCCGGTCTCTGAAGTGAAAATCTGGTGTTTGATTCTACCAGATAATGAATTCAGACTAACCAAACATTAAAGGAATTATGATCAGTTTTAAGTCTCCTATCTCAAGTGATGTACATTTTAGGTCTTGGTTTAATACAGTTTATAACTAGCAGCCTTGTGTGACAGAGAACTTGGCTCTTATGTTCTCGTTGTAAAATTATCCACATTTTCTATTTCGTCTTTAGCATTGTATTGGACATGAAGTTCATATATTATAAGGAGGGTAAATTAATTTATTGAATATCTCAACCATAAAATGTGCATCATTAGTGAGGTGAGGTGTAAATTCCATAAGGTGGTGTTAGTATTTTGTTTTAAGTAGTAACAAGCCTATTTTTATTTATTTTTTATTTATTTTTGGTGTTTGTGATCACTGCATGTAAGTAATTGCCACCTTTTTCTTTAGTTTTAAGTCATATTTAATTCTTTTTCTTAGTTGCTGAACATCGGTACTGTGTTTTTTTTTAAGTACAAGACGCATTCACAGCTTTAATGAGTCTTTAGTTTATGGCATGAATTTTACTTTATATTTTATTTATCTTTATTTCAGAGAGCTGTAGTAATGATCTCATGAGCTGTCTTTAGTACTACTGAATATAAGAAAATAATTATACTGTGCAATGGTATAGAATCTAAGGCACAATTTAAGGTAGTCTGGATGTTGTGATGAATAAGCAAGAAATAGTACAGTAACTCGCTGCTCTAACACAGGCTGGCATAGGCTTTTGTCTGTCGTATATGCCCTTCAAATGGTCATCAGTGCCAATGCTCAAATTTATGTCAGTCACTACCTAAAGTTTATCAGTCACTCTTTATAGTTTGTCATGTCACCCATTATAGTTTGTCAGTCACCCATAATCTAAACCAACACACTAATATTTTTCCAGGAATACAAGTCTTTTAAAATCATGACCACAGTACAGTTTACCCACATACAAATTTAAATGCAGTTAGAGATCGTGTATTATATAAATCTATCTGTTATCAGTGAGTCGGGGGGACAGTTCGAGACATTGAATTTGAGTAAAATTTATCATTAGAACATAAGAATATAATAAGTTTGTGTAGATTCCATAGGATTTTTTTTTTTTTTAATGTCAAAGTGTTCATAAATTCCTACTTAACAGAGGTTCTATGTAAGGTAGTATTGGTGATTAGTATTTTGCAGCAGCTTTAACTTATCTTTGGTTAGAATGACTGTAGGAAATATAATCGGATTTGTAGATATTTACCTTTAGTTAACACATTTCTCCATTGGTTTATAAAGTATATATGAATTTTTAATGAAGGAAAAAATGGTCTAGATGTTAAGGTCTCCAACAGTGGCATCCTACTGGGGTTAACATGCGTAAATACCGAAGGCTGGCAGCTGAAGGTTCTCGGTGCTGCGGTACTGTCGGTGGCCGCTGGTTGGGTGTTCCTATCGGTGGCAGATTTTGTAGCCCTCACCCAGGTATAATATTAATGTGTTTCTCTTGTGCAGTTGGATTTTAATTTATTGCCCATGCGGTGGAGGTTTAGGGAGCGTTGCGTTTTGTTACGTTATTTCCCGTATTAACCAAAAGTGCATAAGTGCCATTTCCGTATTTCGTGCTTGTGTTGTGTATGCATTTTAGTCTTCGTCCGCTTAGAGACTGTCATTATAACCGAATTTTTCACCTGAGCAAAAAGTGCATTGTTTATGTTGAGAGTTATGGCAGTGTGATACAACTGCTGCAGTATTGTCTTTTATCTGTTCTTTGTCTTACACTAGATTATCCTCAATTGTTTAAGAACTTGTAATAAGACTGAGGTCCTCAAATCAGTGTTTCAGACTGCAAGAAAAAGGACTGATAATCTTCACTATTCAATCAGTTATCAGTGTATAGTATCCCTGATTGTCCTGTTTTTAAGTCCTTTTGGGATTTAAATGACTCGGTAGAAATGTCAAGTACGTTTGGTTAACACTGGAAACAGTTTGTGCTGGTGGCTGGTACATGTAGTAATTCTATTTTGTGATTTATTGTACTACTATAGTTTCTGCTGTGATTGTCCTCCTTCGTGTTATTGCTGAACCTGTGGTAGTCGGTTTATTATCATCTTGGGGACAATTCTTTTTACTCTTATACAGTACTGGGTATTTCACATGACTTGAGAAAAAAAAAATTCCATGTGTGTACCAGATCATTAACCCAGTTTCTTGAGTAAGTTTTTCCATCAATCCATGGAATTTCATTATATTTCTGTACTCGAACAAAAGGTCACAGACACAGAACCTCGGCATTCATTTTCCCTGATGTCTCGTGAAGACTAGAGTGTTGGGGGCAGTGACTGTGACCCTGTGGTACTTCCTAATGGGGCTGTTAAAAGTCTCTGAGATATTAATTCAGATCAAAATATTTATGCTGGTTTGAAAAAAAAAGGTTTTTATTAGTCTTGCGGTCTCTTGGTATTGTGTTGCAATATTGGTTTTGTGTGCAGATGAATTTATGCAAACTAGATATACAGTAACGTCAGAAAATAACACATAAAAACACTAGATCAATAAGATACCATTAATTATAGCACTAAAATCATTCCTGTTACCATTAATGTTGCAAAGGATACCAAGAGAGAATAATTCTCTGCTCACGTTATGTTATTCTGGTGGTGGTGGTGGTGGTCTTAGCTTCTCTATATAATGGTGGTGGCCTTAGCTCCTCTATATAATGGTGGTGGTCTTAGCTCCTCTATATAATGGTGGTGGTCTTAGCTCCTCTATATAATGGTGATGTGATGCATATTTAAATGGCTTGGTTTAGACATATTATCAGTGCTGGATCTTTGATGGTTGGTCACGTGTGAGTGTACAGTATTTTTGCTTTTATTATTTTATTTTCTCTTTTTGTTGCTAATATATATCTTGCAATAATCTATTTTCTATATATTTAATTTTGTCGTAAAGTATTGTTTTAATTTGGCATGGCTTTGGGTAAAAGTAAAATCACAGCAAAAACCCAGTTAATTGTATGAGAAGTGTGTGTCAAAGAAAAGTGGATCGTCCTTGTATGCTGCCGTAAGTTACAAAACAATTCTCGTGTGCCCTGCTAACCATCCTGAACTATTATGGTGACAGCGGCTGGGTGTCTGTGAGTCGATCGTTCAGTTTAAGCCACATTGGGTTGGGCGTGTTCATGATCCTGGTAGCTCTCGCCGCATCATTCCAGTCTGTGGCAATGGCCTACGCTCTGCTTCGGGTAGGTTGGATACATTGATTCTTTTATTTATTTATTATTTTTAATATTATTATTATTTTCATCTTGGCACCATGTTCGTGTACAGTACTCACTAGTAATAGGTTAGTTGACCTCTAGTCATCATATATATACTCCCCTGTACTAGCAACTAGGTATTTTAAAAGATTAGGGTAATTTAATATATATTTTTTCTGTAGCCTCATATTTATGCACTTACACAAGATTGTATTCATTCTGTTTGTGTTAGTATTGCAACATTGTACTAAGTACCTGAGTTTGGGTGCCTATAATCCATGGAGTTTCTTATGATTTTAGCACAAGATAGTATTAGTTATACCTGGTAGTACAGTACTTTAGCTATTGACAAGCAGGAAACTGTTTTCAGTATACAGTAATAGTTTTGATGATTAAGCTAGGTTAGTTTAGGTTTGGTTAGTTATGTTTGATTGAATAGGTTAGGTTGGGTTGGTTAGGCTAGGTTGGATAGATACCTCTTCCTTCCAGTCACTCTGCAACATCACGTAAATTGGGTTGTTTTGCTCGTCACGTTGTTGTTGTTTTGATTTACTAGCTGTCGACACCTTGAAGGCCAGTCACGTGTATTGTGCTTGTTGTAGTTGTTATTGCTTGTTAATTGTTGTTCTAGGTGTTGCTCAGGTAGTTTAGGTTCATAGGACAGTAAATGGGATGGTAGTAATGTGTATGGTGTACCTGGTGACTCCCCTTAACGATGCACAGTGAGTTGTAATGATGCTGGGGATCTGTTTGAGTGGTAGAGGCTCGTTATTTTGGCTGTTCATACAAGAGGATATGAACAAAAGTGTGTGTGTGTGTGCGTGTGCATGTGTGTGTTTAACCCTTTTTACTGCTGCTTTCTTTTATTGCTGCATATTATTCACGTCTACATTTATCTCACCTTTTTTATTATCTCTCTCATTCTCTCTCATTATCTCTCCCACACTTGTTTCTTATCATTCTCTCGGTCATCTCTCTCACATTTGTTAGTATAAGTTAGGTTTGGTAAAGGTAGATTAGGTTATGTTAATTCAAGTAAGGTTAGGTTAACTTAGGTAAAGTGAAGTTAGGATAGGTATAACAGAGTGAGGTTAGGTTAGTCACCCAAGCCATCCTCCCCCTTCTGTTATGTAGAGACAGTTCAACACGAGTGATTTTTCTCCTAATTCATAAGGCTGTGTGTTTGTTAAAGGATTACTAGAGAACAGAAAATGAAAACTCGGGGAAAATAATAGAAAACGAAGCCCTGAACTTAGTGATGATTTTGTTTCCTTGCTTTTGTTATTATGCTTTTTATTTTTCTTATTTATTTGTGTGTCCTATTTGGTTGTTTCACTTGATACTGCTTGCTTGTATTTGCTTCATGATACCATAGTACAGTATTTACATTGCATGCATTTCACCGTAAGACATTTGTTTGTTCCTTTGCAAGTATAGTTCAGCACTTTTAAGCTTTACATCAGTCCAGTATACTATTTTGATATATAGAACTGAATAAATGATTTCTTTCACCCAGTACTGTTATGGTTATTGTGTTGTTCTTGGTCTCAGCCTTAATTACCTGGAAAGCTCCATATAATGGACTTCTCTCTCCATATAATCCTTTAAATAGAGGTTTTGCTGTACTGAGTTAAGGTTCCCATATGGAACCTCTTATAATTTTTTGTTTTACTAAGCTTTTTTCTGCTTCTTATTAGGTAATCAGAAACAAGAACAAATCCACACACATATTGTACTGTCATTTATTATTCATTCTTTCCTGTGTTGTAAAAAGTGTATTCTGCCTTGTTGTTCCTTCCAACAACAGGGCCCCAAGTCTAGTTTATCTCTATTGTTTAACTTAAGATACCAACACATATTAACATCTTTCACACCCACCCACTAGAGCGGTGTCCTTCACTAGCAGCAGTTGTCATCTATGTGTGTGTTTGTTCTTCATGCTGTAGTTAACAACTTATATTCATTGTACAGTCCACCCACAAAGGTCCTATTGCCTCTCACCCTGAACCACAAACCCCAAGATTCAGACTTTTGAATCTGAAGCATTTTAGGACAGAATAATGCATCGGTATCTACTGCTTCGGGTTCACGAGTCTGAATCTTGAGTTTCATGGAGCAGCAGGAGAGGTGACAGGACTTTTGTGGGTGACTGTATGGTATTTGGAAGTAGCTTAAAAGAATGTATAAAATAATAATGATATCTGCTATAGCAAAGACTTCACCGTTTATATGATGGGGAAGGGTTTGCTCATATCTAGATATGTATATTTATCAACGCGCCCAAATTTCTGAACGACAGGTACACCGAATCTACCGCAGCACAGGTGCCAGCTTTGCCAAGGCGCAAGTTGAGTTCTCCCAGGGCGTGATGCGCAATGAACACGTCCAGAATGTAACGGCCAATGCAGCCGAGGCAGCGGTGCGCAACCAGTTTGGATCCACTGCGGCTGGCGGCAACTCTTCCAGCCCACGCTTCTAATGGTACTGTACTGATGTTGTCTTCATTATCAGGGAAGGAATTGTGTTGATCTGATGATGATTATTAGTCACATGAAGTTAGGTAACAAATTTCACAGTTATGTTTTATCTTATGCTCAGTCTGGTATTTTTTATTTATTACTGTTTGTTCTTGTATCTGAAGTGGTGAATTTATTTTCAGAAAAGAGAAGCAGGACCTGGAAGCTGGGAGCAACAAGTATGTCCTCATTCATCCCTCCTGTGGGAGTCTTGCCTGTCTCCCCGACCTTCCCTCTCAGGGAAGTAGAATTTGTGGTCCCACACTTCTCTCCCATTTCTTTTCCTTCAACCTCTCCCATTCCTTTGTGCATTGAGAGTTTTTCTATTAAAATCATGATGCTATATAACCATCAGTAACCTTTATTGTATAATGTTGGTATTGACCCATTCAGAATTATCTTTGTTAAGCATGTGGCACTCCCATGGCATGTACAGTACAGTACAGTACAGTACACAACTCTTATTTAGTGCCAGCCCTGAAAAGTGTTTCTGGGTAACCACTTCTGGAACTTCCTCTTCATTAACCGTGGCAGTTTGGAAACTTTGCATCTTGAATTGCCTTGAGTGGCCCACTTTAATTTTTCTATAATTTTAAAGTGAAGTTGTACAGTAATTGAAGTGTGGGGAGAACTGTTCTTATCCTCACACTCATAAATGTACATTGGACACACACATGTTAAATCAAATATAGGTTTCAAATCTTTAGCTATGAAGTTAGCTGCCTTCTGGTACATCCAGTTGTTTATCTTATTTTTTTCTTTATTAACAAGGCTAACATATTTTTGTGATATGTTTAGAACTGGAAATAATGTAATGTATTGCAAAGTAATGTAACATTAATGTACAAAAGCAAAGCATGAATTGAACTCTTTTTTTTTTTTTTTACTTGTGAAGCCACTTTACAAGAGCTGTAGATATTAAGTGTGCACTTCTTAATAGCCCAGGTGATATTGTTGACATTATTTCAGATGTAAGTGATTATTGGAGTTGTGGAGTTCATTTGAGTAGGCAACAAGAGAGGCCAAAAAGCACCATTAAAATATAAAACTAATCCTCATGCCATGCCCGAGCTAAAGACCAGAGCACTGATGCGGTACAGTGGTATATCTCCGTAAGTATTTTGTTGATAGTTTACCCCGGAGTCATACAGTTGAGACGACGAGACAGGTGTTCATTATAGACCCAATCATTGTAAATCTCTAATTCTGTAATAATCTTCAGTTAACTACTAGTGATGGGTAAACGGTAATCACGAGCTTCTGATTCTTTATTTTTATACTCTGATTTTTTGGTGTCAAGACTGTGTAATAATCCTAACCCATGAACTTGTTTTATAATTGCCCTGAATTCATGTACAGAAATTAGGAGTTAAAGGATGATTGGTTGATACGTTAAAAGAATTAGGTATCGTAGGTCAGTCGTGACGTGTTAGTTAAACGCATTACCCGAGAAAATAATAATTCCGTGTCCTTTTGCTTTGAGAAATGAGGAATTCCTGTGCGCCAAAATTGCACTACAGTTGCTGACTGATTATATGAATTTGATAATGGCTGTGAGTGGATGTATAGTAGGTTGTAGAGATGCAAATGAGATGTAAATGAAACTTAAATGAGTTCTCCTAAATTGCATTGACCAGTGTGCCATTTCATGACTCGGAAGCCGATGTGTATTAAGATTTGTAAATGCCAGGCAGCCTTAGTAAATCACCGAGAATGTAGCCAAGGAAAACTCACAGATGTCATTTGTTTAGCGATGACGAGATTTGTTAAATTTTTGAAAAATGTCGTGCAGATGAGAATTTTGTAGACGTAGCCAGATAATAATAGATGTAGGCACTTTGCAGAATGTTCCATGGAGTGTCTTGAAACTAGTTGATTTTACAGTAGATCTACAGTAGTTTGGTTCCAAAATGTTGCAAGTATTACTGCAGTCAGGTAAACTTTCAACTGGACCGTGGTAACCCTCTCCCAGTCGCACAGACTTGGACCAATAACCATTTAATGTAACATACTCCACCGTCTAAACTCCTTTATAAACTAAGCATTAATTTTTTATCGTGCTTGTCGAGAATTTTGTTATTAATCACCGGGATTTGGGGGTCGAGTATTGTACTTCCAGAGAATAGCACTTCCCAAGTATTGCATTGCCTGAATAATGTAGTTCTTGATTATTGTATTCTTGAGTCTCACGTTCCTCAAGTTTGTGGCTCTTGAATCTCACGTTCCTCAAGTTTGTGGCTCTTGAGTCTCATGCTCCTCGTGTTTGTGGCTCTTGAGTCTCACGTTCCTCAAGTTTGTGGCTCTTGAGTCTCATGCTCCTCGAGTTTCTGGCTCTCGAGTGTCATGCTCCTCGTGTTTGTGGCTCTTGAGTCTCACGTTCCTCAAGTTTGTGGCTCTTGAGTCTCATGCTCCTCGTGTTTGTGGCTCTTGAGTCTCATGCTCCTCGAGTTTCTGGCTCTTGAGTCTCATGCTCCTCGTGTTTGTGGCTCTTGAGTCTCATGCTCCTCGAGTTTCTGGCTCTTGAGTCTCATGCTCCTCGTGTTTGTGGCTCTTGAGTCTCACGTTCCTCAAGTTTCTGGCTCTCGAGTGTCATGCTCCTCGTGTTTGTGGCTCTTGAGTCTCATGCTCCTCGAGTTTCTGGCTCTCGAGTGTCATGCTCCTCGTGTTTGTGGCTCTTGAGTCTCATGCTCCTCGAGTTTCTGGCTCGTTGAGTGCAATAATTTTGTTTAATTCTATTTTAATGGAGAACACTTCCCTGAGTTTTAGTGATGTTAGGCATACAGACCTACAATACAGTACACAGTTGTTTTGATAGAGTAGATGACGTATACATTAGGTGCTTCTTGACATACTTAATGGATTGCTGGCTCACATGTTTATCTATCCCACTTTCTATCTATCTATCTGTCTGTTTGTCTATCTATTGATCTTTCTATCTATTTAATACATTCTATGTATATACAGTAATGCCTTATTCATGGACTTTAGGGAGTGAATCTTGATGTAAACTTGGTGTTGTGCAGGATGGCAACTGTATTTAACGACTTTTAGGAAGAATCACCGTACTTTATATATTAACATAGTAGACCTTTTATTACTTCATACTAATCAGCAATAATGTTAATTGAAGAGGTGACAAGACGGGTTGAAATATGTGGGTAAAGGCGTGTTGTAAAATGTAGGTAAAAAAGCGTTAAAAATATTGGCATATATTGTAAACAAAGGAATACCCTCTTATTTCTGTGTGCTAGTGATCAGTATTGGTCGTGTTCGTTTATTTACACGATATCGGAGAAATGAACCACACTTTGAAGATTACGTTTTAAGTAATGGTCTTTCCTTTCGCTCTTCTTTTGAGGTCTGCTTAATTCTCGGTGGTATATTAAGTGGCCGTCCATGCACACGTCTGGGTATAGAAGTGCATTTCATAGGGCTTTAATGTGCTTCATTCAGTACAGTACAGTACAGTAACCAGTTTGGGATTCTGAAGACTTGAGTCTATTTTTGTTGTTGGGAGAAACAGTGTAAAGGTGAATGTTATTATTTATTGTTCATGCTCCTTTTTAATGCTATAGCTTGAAAACAGTAGGATTTTTTATGTATATTATACAGAATTACTTAATGGACTTGTGATCTTGGTGATTATCTACAGTAGGTGACCATTATTATTATTCATCTTTTGTGATAACTGTGTACTTCTAATATTGTTAAATCTAATGATCATCAGAATGATTAATTTGTAAGTTAGTTTATATATACAGTATATATATATATATATATATATATATATATATATATATATATATATATATATATATATATATATATATATATATATATATATATATATATATATATATATATATATATATATATATATATATATATATATATATATATATATATATATATATATATATATATATATATATATATATATATATATATATATATATATATATATATATATATATATATATATATATATATATATATATATATATATATATATATATATATATATATATGTGGAAAAGTGAGCCACAAATAAAATATGGATTTCCTTCAGTATGTTCTTTAGATAAAACTTTTCTTTTCCAAATCAGATTAAATTTGTGCTAAGACACAACTAACTTTTATTTCTTGGCTCATAACATGTTTGCTCATTCAGGTGTGTAAAACAGCTATATTCAACATTTTAAGGATATGAGCAGTACAGCAAGCAAGTCTTTAGCATGTTAGCTTGTGTAGAACATTGACAGACAGTAACAATAGAAGAAACATCTGTAGAAGTATTGCTGCTGCTGTGTTAGTGATCTGAAGTGGCTGAATTTAGTCGAGTTCCTCAGTCATTTACTGAATGCTGTACCACCATCCGCCACTTTTAACCTGAACATCTTCCCAGCACCAGTATGTGAAGTTGTTCATGTACTTATACTCGTTTACGAAAGCAGTAGGTCGAGTCAGTTTGAGTATCAAGTGATCACTGTTTCAGCAATGTTATCTTATTATTTTGTTATTATTGATCAACACTTGAGACAGTAATTCAAGAATGATAGTTGATAATATAGGAGCCTGAAGGGACATGTGTTGCTGACTGCTGGACTTTAAATATATTATAGGATGATGATAAATTATAAGTGCAGTCCATCATTCTTGTATTTTTAAAGTGTGGGGTGTTTCTTTCCACTTCTAAACTTGAGTTTGGATGAAATATATATATTGTAGGTGTTAAACTGCATTTAATTTGTTAACCCTTTATTGATGGTATCCTGTGTTGGCACATACTGTTAAATATGTCAACACAGTCATGTACTTTGCTTAGTTCACAGCTCCCATATATTCAAAGCGTGTTGTTGTGAAGATCTGCCCACCATTGTTCTCCATCCAGTCATATACCTTGTGGAAGTTTTAACACACTACCCATGTTATGTCTCCTAGCAATTACACATCTCTACACACTTGATAGTCATCAGTTACAATTGTGAGTATTTAATCCATATTTTTTGTTATCATGGCAGGAATGAAGGCAGACATTTATGATACTGGCAATTCTTAAAGTGATGATTACGTTTGTTGTATATTGTACTTGGGATTGTGCTAGCTCTTCTCTGGGACACAATATTGTGTTTGGACAAGTTTTCAACAGTGCCGAGACTAATTTGCCAAGTATTTCTGACACAAAAGTAATTTATTGAACAGTGTTGGGTATTGTTGCTTCATATACTACTCTATTTTTAAAAGGAAAGTGTATTTGGTACAAGCAGGTTTTAATAATCTAAAATTATTTGAAAACTGCTGTAGTGACATCCTAGGAGTTGAATCAAGAAAAACAGCAGACAAACTATAATAATTTATTAAGCAAAATATCAACATTGCAAAATATATTTATACACAGATATTTATATATAGATATGAACCTAGTAAGATAATATATTGCTTTGAAAGTTTGCCCAGGTCATACTGTGTAGTATGTCATACACTAATACAAGACTGTAATGAATAACTTAATGGAATTTGATTCTGCATGGGAATCATTCATTATTCAATACTATTATTAACATTGTGATGATGTTCATTTACTGCCACTACTTAACCCTTGTTATAACTTGTACTTTAGTATGCTGCTCTGACAGATATTTAATAATTATATACAAAGAACAAGCATAACAAAGGAGCACAGTTAACTTTCACTGCCTACAAAATCATAAAAGTATAGCACCTTTGTCTTGATGGCTTCCATGGTAAATGCGCTCGATACATTTATAATAAAAACTTCCATCCGCAGCACAATAATGCGTAACTCTTCCACCACATAAACGGTCACTGAATATGAGTACAGTACAGGGGATGTAAAAAGATGAATAACAATGGGTCAATAAATAAAATAAAATGAGGCAGGAAGCATTATGTAAAATAAAAGTAGTAAGCCTGGGTTCACAAAGTAGTTGTTAATGTGGTACAGTTGATGACGAGAATGATTTAATTATTAATTCTCAGACTTGTTCGCTGTGGTCAGTGAAGAAGGTAGGAAAAGCAATCTATAGGATCAAGGGCAAATTAATTAGAGATTTGGAGATATTAAAAGTGATTATAAGTTACTCTAATCAAGTACTTGTAAAATATATATAGATTATTACAGTAACATTACAGAAAGGTTAACTGCAGTGTTGAGACTAATAGCTGTTGCTAGAAAATTTCTCACTTTATAAAGTTTCACCTTAAAAATAAAATAATCCCAACAATGCCCTGAAATTAACATAAATACAACATCTAACCTTTCTATTGCAACCAAATAGTAAAAGCTATTTTAAATCATAAATCATTCCGTAGAGGGCTCGGCTCCAAATAAATTGGTAGATTTCGTAAAGACCTACAGTACAGGTAGCAAACGAAATACAGCTACAAATTCTTCCTACTCGTCAATATTTCCTGAGTCTTGGTTCCCAACTCTGCATAGTATAATATGTATGTAGGTGTGACACTGCTGGAGGGGCATCTGTCCACTCATTAAAATTTCTGAAGCGTGTACACTACTCCAGAGGTACAGTATTGTATCACAAACAAGTATCTTGGAATAAACATTTGGTGAAAGCACTGTGTTGAAAAATTGTCACTTAGCATAATGTTCTTAGTACAGCTCTAACATGTAGTATAGTTTACTGTATATACTAAAACTACTTTATTTAATACTCTGTATGTGCTTACCGTACTTACTTAACATTTAAGGTAAAAATATTTTATAAAAGTAGTGATATACATAAATACAAGGAAACACCGTATAATTACGATGGAAATAAAACTCTCTCATTCAAAAAGTTTGATTGTCTTCTCTATTGTTTAGTCTATAAAGGCACTGTTGAAATATCAACAAGCAAACAAATGAAGCTCGTAGCAAATATTTTTTAACAAATGGCACGATATAGTGTTAGTCATAAACGACGACCGATCATTACGACGTAGAATATAAATAATTTAGTTTTGATGCGCAAATGTCGTGATTGTACAGTTACTCGTGTTAAAATACATCACAACATTATTTGCTTGTGAGAGATGTTGCAGTCGATACAGATCATCATATATCCTTTAGGCATAGATAAACATAAGTAAAGTTTCTTTTGATTAAAAATTAACAGTACAGTACAGTACGTCAGATCGAGCTAAACGCTATTAAATGTCCCGTTTAAAATTTGGCACAAGTAACATAACGTTTACTTGTTTTTTCATAAAGTATTAAAAAGTGTTCATTTATACAACAAATTAAAACTTGTAAATTTATATTAAGACTACAGTATATAATTACATTCAGATACAGGTGTACGAAGAGTTCACAAAAGTTAACGTACAGTGAAGTTTGTTTACAATAAAATATAAAATTGATCACCAACACAACCAAGCTTTTGTCTCGGCTTACATGCATAGTACGTAACAAATTGCAGTAGTGAGGAACTATTACAGTATTGAAAATTATAAAAAGTAAATTTCTCAAAAATTAAACATCCTTCAGGTATTTGTTGTATTGGTGAGCTGCAAAGATTAATTTGTTAACTGTTAAAAACCAATATTTCATAACTACTACTTTACATAAACACTAAAATTCTCACTTTTATACAAGACATTCTGGATGAGACAACAGTAAGGGATTCATCAGTCATGTTCTCCACAACATAGACCTGATGAACACTACTTGGGCAACTTACAGGCAGTAGTTAAATACACTGTAAGATGTGGCAAATAATGACAACAATCACATAGGGGCGAGATGGATGAGACTTAAGGTTTAGGCAGAGAATCTTCAGGTGGTGTTGGCAGAGGGTGTAAGGTCGTCACTGGTGATGTTCCTTCTAAATTTGATTGGTTGTCTAATCTCAAAGTATAGGTTACTTTTTTGGCAGTATATCTGTAAGAAAAATATAAGTTTCTTCAAGACAATGATGAAAGAAATGCATTTATTAAGCACTTCCCGGGTTCTGTAATGACATTGCCAAAATTACAAATATTTTCCAGAATAATCTTGGTATGTCATCCTCAGAATTTGCTTCCAGACCCCCCAAAAATGAAGAGATTTAATGGAATTTTCTTTGTATTTTTGAGAATTAGGCATTATTTCTTCCTTGGAATTTTTCCCCAGGTCTGGAAGAAAATTCCGAGGAAGAAATGATGTATAATTCTCGAAACTATATCCATTTTTTTTTCTGAGTCAGGGAGCAAATTCTGACCATATTCTTGTAAATTAAATTAAAAAATCCACAGCCTAAACTGTAAGGTTTTGACCAAAAAACTAAGGTGATTAATTACTTTAGTGCATCCAGAATAACACAAAAACATCCCCATAAAAATATCACAGGTGGTGATTAATTAGTATTGAAACACTAAAATTTTCCCAGTCATTAGGACCAGCAGAACTGTCCCTAGGGGGTGCAGGGGCCCCTCTTAGGTCCTTACTACCCAAAAGTGACATCTTTGGGTAGCAAGACTATAGTCTTTGGTGCCAAAAGTGACATCTTCTGGTAGCAAGACTTGGGTGCCCAAAGTCACATTTTTTGATAGCAAGACTATAGTCTTGCTACCAGAAAATGTGACCAAGACTACAGTCTTGCTACCAGAAAATGTAACTTTTTCTGGTAGCAAGACTGTAGTCTTGGGTGTCAAAAGACACATTTTCTGGTAGCAAGACTTGGGTGCCCAGTCACATTTTCTGATAGCAAGACTATAGTCTTGCTACCAGAAAATGTGACCAAGACTACAGTCTTGCTACCAGAAAATGTAACTTTTTCTGGTAGCAAGACTGTAGTCTTGGGTGCCAAAAGACACATTTTCTGGTAGCAAGACTTGGGTGCCCAAAGTCACATTTTCTGGTAGGAAGACTATAGTCTTGCTACCAGAAAATGTGACTTTGGGCACCCAAGACTACACAGTCTTGCTACCAGAAAATATGACTTTGGGCACCCAAGTCTTGCTACCAGAAAATGTCACTTTTGGCACCCAAGACTATAGTCTTGGGTGCCAAAAGTGGCAGGGTATCATTAATTTTTTTAATGTTTAATTTTAATAAGAAAATCAATCACAGTAACATCTGCTAATTATTTTTTCACTCCAAATTTAATCATGTGATGAATTAATGCTATAAATCCACTATACAGGTATATATACAGTACTGTACTTTACTTTACTATCCTTAGCTTTCATCAGAAATCTAAATGAATTGAGACAAATTTAACTAATGTAAAAAAACAAATCAACTTGCCTAGAAAAGGAGTTATCAAAGACCAGTGTGTATACTCCTGGCTGCTTGGTGAGCAACCTACCCCTCACAGCTGCCCCCTGTGTTGATGCTACTCTGGTGGTTGGAATTAAAACTCGCTGATGACTGGCTGTTCCTTCTTCATCTGACCCAGAGTGGCTGTTAACTTGGGGCTGATGTAACACAGCAAACGACACACTCTGTGGGACGAGGCGTTCTGATAATCTTGTATTCAAAGTATCAGTTCTCAAGATACAGATTATAGAAAAGTTAAATTAATGTATACTGTACAATAATACAAAATCTATTAATTCCATTACTAGTTGATCTGAGGCTACAGTAATATAACACAATGAATGAATGATAAACAGATGATATAATTAATCTGTGAGTCTTACTTTAGATACAAGAGTTTATTAAATAACAGGTGAATATAATAAGTTAAGCTGCAAATATTTGACCAACATTAATAATGAGTTTTATTTTAGGTTTGAATACAAGTATTCAGTGAACAACACTAGTTGAGTCTTACTTTAGGTTCTGATACAAAGTTCCAGTGAAGTATGACCCCGACCGGCAGATCAACAGGCACCAGGACTCGTGTTCCCGCCCCCACCCACACCTGGGAGCGAGATAACAAGATAGTCCTCAATGGCATAGAACACCTGCATTAGATCTCAAAGGAAAAGAACAAGGAACTTTTGTAGGAATAATTTCTTACTGCCTGTTTGTGATCACAATATAAATGGGATTTATTTCATAATGTACTGAAAACAGATAACTTGTAAATAAATTGTTACTCTAAATATAATATTTATTACAAGTTTACAATGTTTCATTCTCCTTTGAAGGCCCTTGTCAGTGAGGGATGAACTGCATTATGTCATGTCTTTGAGTAAGTACAGATGATCACTGGTCAATCCCACATTCTTTTAAATTTCTTCACCAGCTAATCCCAAAGTAGCAACTGTTAACTCTGTAACTATATGGGCATGAATTTAATTTGAGTACAAGATCTTTAATAAAAATTTTAAAGGCCAGCAATGTCTCGGCAAACATTCCACTTTGAAAATAAAACAACAGAGTGGATGACAAACTATAGAAGGCTGTGATGGAGGGTTCCATTACCAATAAATGACCGGTGTAAAGGAAAGTTGTCACCTTACCTCAGCATTCGTGGGTGGTGATTCACAAAGGGAGTCCGGGGTGAGTATTTCCTTAGTGGCCCGAGTCTCGGTTATTACGTCGCTAGCACTGGGAGGTGACCCACTGCTTGGACTAGATGATAATTTTGAGCTTTGTAACTCGTCGTCAGATATTATGGCATAATCGTCATCGTCTGGTTCTTGGGAGCCAATCGGTAATGGGTGTGATAATCCTGTGGTCTGCGTTACTTCTGTTCCACTCTCCATAGAAGTTCCAACGACTTGCAAATAATTACCAAGTCTTAGAATGTAATTTTTATATTAAAATTGCAGCTAAATAAAATTAAACTGAAAAAACACAATTGGCAGTAAAACTCGGATGATTTTCTAGTATTACCGAGCCTAAATTAACCCAAACCGGATATAATTAAATAATCTGATATGAAGTGAAGTCAAAGTCTTTTCAAACATGGCTATTAATTATAACCTAACAATTTATTTAAACTCAAAGATAAATAAATTTTCATTGAACATAATGTAGAAATTTTGCCAGTAAATAACCACACCTACTGCATGGTGATGGCAGGAAAAAGGTTAACACACACACACACACACACACACATTCTCCCTTCATTGGTTGTCACTTCCCTGATTCACCTCCCAATTCCACATCACTCATCTAACTTGCATCTCTCTTCATCACTCTTGCTCTTTACCTCAACTGTTTCCCCATCCATGAAGACACTAAACCACCTCAGTCCAACACAGTGTGACTCCAATACTGACAATCATACCTCACAGTACACTCATTTTACAGTGGTTAATAAAAGGTTGGCAACTTATACAACTTCGAAGTAAAAGTTTCTTGTCTTGTATCATTTACTTACATCCATCATGTGTGTTGTTGACGCTCTGTGGTGCAGGTGATGCTATGAGTGTGGCCAACTCTGCCTGAACCGAGAAGCAGTCATCACACACCCTGACCCGTCGACTGTGGAGAAGATTGCTATGTACAGTAATTATGTCTTCTAAAAATGACATTGTAATAGATACAAAAAATTGTCATAATAATCACTATTTCTTATTACTGGCAACACTTCCTACCATTAAACATAATGAGGAGACATAACTACAAACTAACATATACAATTAGTGTGAGAACCTGTAGTTCAGTTGGTAACACTGTGGACTCCCAACCTCAGGGTGACAGGTTCATTCCTATACTGTACTGTAGTTGGTCATTTAACTGTTGATCTATAATTGAATTTTTACTTGCTGAGATGCTTTCAAACTCTCACCTTATATGATATACAGAAGCAATTACAGTACAGTGTATACCAAAAGAACAGTTACCTATTAATCAGTTATGGCACACTGTTGTACTCTACTAAGTACTATCAAGTACTGGGCACTACAGTTTATGTATGCTCTTGGTAACTACAGTAATTTCTTCATTATTCATGAGTGTAAACTATCTCAGACCAATTATAATGTGAGAAAGCAAAATAATGTAGGATTTCACTTGGCTCAAACACCCGCATAGCTTACTGTACTTTGAAGTAATATATCAGATATTTAAGATTTTTAACTTTCCTCCTGTGTTTTGGTCCTGGCCAAATAAAAATTCACAATAGATTACTGTACTGTGTTCAAAGATAATAAATTTATCAAGAACAAGGAATCTGAACCCATCTCTATCTAACCTTTCTGTCACCTCATGTAAATTACAAGAAATATAGTAGATCTACTGTTTATGTATTAGATATATACAGTATGTTCTGTACTGTATATAAACAACTATTGTACACATATAGCTGGCTGGCACCTGGATGCTGGGGTCATAATCCAATTGTCGGAGCAGCCAGTACAGAAGATGCGGCCACAGACACGGCAGTGGTGGCGTCTACGCGTTAGGGAGAATGCCACGTTACATCCCAGGCACTTCTGAGCACTGCTGTTGTCCATCCAGGCTCGACCACAACCCGCAGCACCCTCTAGACGGATATTAGCCTGCCAGAGGGCATCCTTCTCTCTGGACAGTGTACAACACATTTTCACACTCAAACTCTTTCAGAAAATTAAATTACTATTGGTAAATTATCTATCTGTTAGTAAAACTACTGTTAATACAACAAAACCTTGTGTTAGTTATACATTAAGTGTGATGAAGGTTTATAAGTACAACTTGTGATATTATGGTACAAACTTATACATGGGAGAAGACACAAGTGCCACCCACTCATGGTACAGTGCAGTGTGGCTTCTTAACCAACATACACAAGTACTGTATCAACAGGGGCTGCTGTACTGTATGTTGAGTGAGATAAAGAATCTTGACAACACTAACACAAATTTATATAAAATAAAATACTCAAAGTAATTATTGATATTACTGATCATTCAGTTAAAAGGAAATCTGAATATCTAATCATAAGTAACAATGAATATGATAATAAGAAATGATGTGTAACAAACAATGTAAATATTACATTACTATACTGTACAGTATAGCACAAAAGACATGAGCATTTTACTTTATCTTGGGTGAATTACATTAAATATTCATTTTGTTTACAACATATATAAGTTGAGGATATGAGTAAGCAAGTGTGGGCTTATCTCTCTATTGCAGGAGTTACTAAACCTTGGGTTCTAATATTCAATGCTGAGTGATAGTGCATCTCAGTGTGTGTTTTCCTGCACATATCACAAAAATGTATATATCGCCTTACAGCTTTTCATGGATATCTTTGTCCTCTTTTGTTGATATGTGAGGTGTCCCACATGTGAGGACAATGTTGCTGTTGTAATACAATTATTCAGCCAATCTCCACACAAACCCATAAGGCAGAGAGTACCTGTGTACATTTTTTGAGATGTGAAGGAAAACACACACACACATTTTCACCCTAGGACTGGGAGATAAAAATAAAACATGCTAACACTGCTTAACAAACCAATGCTATTTGATTTACAAACATATACCTTACCTCAGTAACTGAATAATCTTCTCTCTCAGCTGTGCATTGTCATCATTGAGCTGCTCAGATGCCTCCCTGGTGGTGGTCAGTTGTAGTAGTGTTTCAGCAACACTGTTCTGGGCCTGCACACACACACACAGTATATTATTAAGAGTGAGAGAACAAGAGTATAGAAACTGACTCACTGTGTTCTCTACCCATTAAAATTATAATTATGTTCAAAATACTGTACAGTACTACTCTCAATATAATGTACTGAAATCTATTTTACAATGATCAGTTTTAATGTACAGTATGTACTTATGATCATTATTATTGATGAACAGTTGCCTTACACTGTACCAGGTGTAAGTATAGTCACACATTACAGTCTTCACAATAAATACCTGCTGTACTCGTTCATCTAGGTCGCTACAATGACTGTCCCGCTCAATTAGATTTTGCCTGAGTTCATTGGCTTCTGAAGAAAGGTTATCGTGTTGAATCAGTAAATCCTGTTTTTGAGTTGCAGCTTCTTGTTGTAATGCAGAGATTCTTGCTTCCTGCTCACTAATTTCTGTTGCTGCAGCAGTGAGAGCCTTGGCCTTTTCCAAACTATCCTGTAATGTGGTAATATAATCTAACTATTGAACATTAAAATGCCTAGTAAATAGAGTTGTGCAGTGTAATTATTATACAATTATACCAAGCTCTATTATTTTAATGCAGAAGTATAAGTTAAAAGCTTGAGACATGGCTCTTTACCTGTATATTTTGTCAACAACATTCATGTACTGTACACTATAATCAGCCAAAGTTCACACAATATACACAAACTGATTTTAATCCAATCATTCCAGTTAAAAAATTGAATCCTAAATACCCATAATTGGGAATAAATTTTCACTTGCATAAATGGTAGTTGGCAGTATGAGTCGAGGCAGAGGAAGTGTGATAATATTTACCTTTACTGCTGTTTCCTTCTCAATGTCCTTTGAAGAAATCTGGAATCTCAAATCTGCAACTTGCTGCTGCACCATAAGCATTTCTTCTTTCAGCACCTTATGTTCATTGTCTAGTTCACTGTGAAGAGTCTGAAACTCAGTGATCTGTAAATAAGGAACTCATGTTACTCACTGCTGCTGGAGCTTCCTTATAAACTATATCAAACACCTTCACTTATGATAAGTGGAGACACCATTTTACAATCCCTTCCCAAAGTGCTGCAAGTTCCTTAACACTACAAAGTTCAAGGGGCCACACTTACAGACACTAATAACATAAGAGGATCTTTTACTGAACATATCTGAGATCTTGTTTTGATATACTTTTAGTACAGACACAGAGACACCTACCATTTCTATGTCTCCCTCTAGTGCAGTAGTGAGAGATTTCTTGTGTACTTTATTCACAATTTCCAGCATTCTTAGTTTCATTTGGAATACAGTACTTTAGTCTTTATTGGGTGAATCATTTGTCCTTATAGAAGCTATATAGTACAGTACTATGGCTTGTGGCTATACAGTATTTACCTGTGTATTGGCTTGCTTCAGCTTAGAGAGAGCATCTGTGGCTGTAGCTTCACTCTTGTTTAATGTTCCCTCAAGCTGGAAAAAGATATAACAAATATTCCATCATCAGCATTAGTTAAAGTAATGTAAAATAACGCCAATGTTTTAATTTAGTATAATTAAGTATCTACCATTAATGTGTTCAACAAGTTAAATAGAGATGTCCCAATATCACAAAAACACAAAACCAACTGTAGAAAAGACTATTTGAATATTCTTAGCACAAGCACTACAGTTTTTATATTAAGAATTACTGCCGGTATATCCTATGTTATTTTTTTTAAACCTTAAATGGCAGCTAATGGTTCCCTACTCTGTCCTTACAAGCGCTAAAATAGAACACAAGGAACTGATAATGGCCACCATCCCTACACCAAACTCCCACTGATAATGGCTGCCAAATGGTTAAAGAAAATCACCTTCACCACCTACCAGAAGCTGTTTATCCCATACCTCCTTAACTCTGTCAGTAGCTATGTGGAGCAGCTGTCCTCTCTCCTCGTACTTGTCTTTAAGGGCGTCTATCTCCTCCTGCAGGCTCTCGTAATCCTCCTCTCTCTGACTCAGGGACGCCACCTTCTGCTTCAGCTGTTCTTCTGCCTCACTGATCTGAAGGACACCAACACATATCACTGAACTGAAGACAAATGGTTTGATATTTACTGACAACTACTGAAGGCGCTCTCTCTCTTCAGTTACACAGGCCATCACACGACACTCAAAAGAGCCGCTTGTCTAAACTATACAATCTTTATCTTTATCAAATGTCAATTAGTGGGGACTACAACACACTACTGTATGTTAGTCATGACACTCACTGGTCTAGTGGACCGACATGAAGAAGCACACTGACTAAACATTATACAGCTGGACATTGTGAGTAGATAAGTGACTTCACATAACAATAAGCATGTTGAGAGGTGAACGTGTCAACATTACTGAGAGGGAGCATCAGTATAGGTGCAGATTATATAAGTTAAACATCATATAATACATCACATGGACAGTTTCAAGTAAATTGTTCTACACACACATACTGTTGAGAAGCATATTATATCTCTGCTACGGTATACAAATAAATGTTAATATGTTTTTATGGGAAGATAGATACATGTAAAGGCATCATAAATACGGTACAGTGAAAACTTATTGAGAAACTCTTAAAGAAGAGTACGTATACAAGTCTTCTCATAAAAAAATTGGGATTCTCAAAAAATTCAGGGGTCAAAATTCATTGTAAGTTGCACGCTTGTGTTAGAAGATTGTTAGTTTTGATCCACACTGAAGACATGTCATCCTTATAGTTGACAGTTTACTGTGACAGTACCTTGCCATTACGTTCTAGTTTGAGTTCATCAACACACTTGCCCAAGTGTTCCAACTTCTCTTCCATCTGATGCCTGAGTCTCCTCTCGGCCTCAAGAGCTTCCGTCAACTGCGCCTCAACGCGGGTCTTCTCCTCAATGAGTTGGCTGCATCGTTCCTCGAGTTTCTTGTTGTCTCTGTGAAGAATTTCAATCTTTCTTGGAAGGAAGTTGATGAGTCGCTTGCTGAGGTCGCCGTCGACGTCCGAATGTTCTTCCGTCGGGGAAAATGCCTCGTCTGCACTTCCTCCCGCAGTGTTTCCTTCTTCCTCGGACAAATTTCCGGGAATACCCGAAGCAGCAGAGCCGGTGTCTGCCTCGCTCATATAGGCTGTATCAGAACTCTCTGGCTCAGGACTCAATATTTCTAACTCAATGTGATCTGTTGTGTAGTTCTCAAGTTCTTCTTCCTCTTCATAGTAATCCTCCTCTTCATCTTCATCTTCATCATCATCTTCATCACTCGAGCCATAATGTTGGTGAAGAGTCGAGAGTCTGGAGGCCAGAGTCAGTGATCGTGCTGTAGAGGCCATAAGTTTCTGATAGAGGTAACTGCACTGCTCCTCCAGGTGTTCTAAACGGGAGGCGTGCATGTCCTCTCCCTCCATGGCGGCGACCATCGAAGTAGACGTGTCGTCGTCCGCATCGATAACTCCATACTCAATGGCCATGTCGAGCAGCAGGTCAACGGGAGGTTCAAATTCTGAATAAGTGCATGGTGCAGCTGCCGCCCCTTGGTCTTCGGCCGCGTGATACTCTGCCGTATTGGACTCCGCTGCGTGCTCTGCCATTCGTCTCCGCTCGTTAAGTTCCTCCCTGAGGGAATTCCACGCTTCCTCACTCTCAGTATTCATCTGTCGAATCTTGTGCCATTGTTCACGCGAGCACTCTAACTCCTCCCTCAACTTGTGGAGGAGTTCTCTCTTCTCCTTCAGCTCGTATCTGAGAATTGACTCTGAAGTATGTAACTGTGCGTGTTGTTCCTTCATGTCCGACACCAACATCCAGGTGGTGTGCAACGCGTCGGAAACACCGAGCAGCCTCGTCTCCTGCTGAGTGACGCGTCGCTGCAGCTCGACGTTGAGCACCTGCAGGCGCTCTATTTCTGTAACTAGAGACTTCTTCTCAAATATTAGTTCTCTTAACTTAATATAAGTTTTACTGACACTATTAGACATTTCTTTAAAGTCTTCCTCTGATGGTAAGTTATTGAAGGCTGTGTTGCTGTTGTCTGGAGGACTGACCGCGTTGACCCGGGTCTTCTCGGTAAGCTCCAGATCCTCGAACAACTTGGTTAATGCACTCAGCTGCCGAGACATTTTCTGGTTATCGTTGAAGTAAGTATCCAACTGGTCTTTTAAACCGTGAATAATAATTTCCTGGTCGTCAATGACGGTTTCGTAATCCCTAACGCGTCTTTTAAGTTCGCAACACATTCTCTCCGTCAGCTCAAGTTTACCAGTTGCAAAAGTAACTTCTGCCAAGAGTTTGGGGATGTCCTCCACCTTCTTGATGGTAAGACGGGGATCTGGCAGGGAGTCGGGCACCTGGATCCCCACCTCCTCCCGACTGGCTCCAGAGTCTTGACGGATTAAGATGCCGTCTCCACTGTTGTGAGACTCGTTGTCACTGTCACTAACTCTGGTCTTCCGCTCAAACCAATTAGCACTCACCTTGCGTATGTTTGTCCTCAGAGCGGTCTTCTCCTTTTCCGCTGTGAGACATTGTTCCTGAGGATAAAATAACACAATAAGTGCAGTTCAGTATTACAAAATCAATTTACAAAATTATCTTGTAGAATAATGTCTTACTGAAATAATGTGAAATATTATTGTCGTGGAAAATAATTTCACAAAATAATCATGAACAAACTTTCCTCTAGATGTATTGTCTAAGTCAATTTGCTGAAAGATAAAATGTTTGGCCTCTAGCATGACAAAGTAAAATTGTTAGTAACCAGACACTGCATCAAAAAAATATTTAGTAACTGAAGAAAACAAGCAATCAGAAGTTATTGCACTTGCATAAGACATAAATTAATATGTTGTGTAAACCTGACACATTGTATTAGGGAGATTGTCTCATGATAACAAAGTAAAGCCAGTGTGTCTCAGGCTGTCTCCTACAGCACTTTGGCAGGGAAATTAGGTCATCTATTTTAAGGTGTTGACATCACACTGATCAAGTCTGAGCACAACTACAGGTAACAAAGCTCCTCTGACCCTGCATGGCCATCTGACCAAACACATGTCTCCTTGGATGGGAATTCAGAGAGGCATTATGGCTTCAGGAAATGAATTTTGTGGAGGAGTGAAAACAACAGCAGTCACACTAACATCAGATCCCAATGATGTCAAGTTGAATGCTGCTTTTTTATACTGTACTTCAAGGGACAAACATAACTCAGTGTGTTAAAACTCAGCCAACCTTAAATCAGGAAAGGTATTACATATTATTAAACATACACAACAAATTAGTACTTAAGAGTCTTTGTAGTTATAGATGAGAAAGATACAAATTGGGGGTTTGGAGAGACAGATTATTTGACCATTGTGTGAAAAAAAAAAAAAATTGAACACAAACCCGTAGCGTCTGATTTTCCTTCTCCAAAATTTCCAACTTGGACTGGTAGTGGTCAAGCACCTGCTGGGGAGGAGGTAAAGAGTCCGTGTCTGGCTGAAGGATCACGCTGGTGGGCTGTAGCGCTGGACTCCGCTCAGGTGTCACGGTCACCTTGGGCACGGCGGTCACGTCCGTTTCCTTGAGCAGTGCGTGTACTCCCGTAGTGAGGCGGTCGCCGGCACTCACCGTCTCCTTCAACTTTTTCTCTAAACTAACAATTTCGTTCTTTAAATAAGTCTCTTGAGTCTGTAAGTTATCTACTTGTGTTTGTAGTTCATTAACCTGGTTCTCCATACGTTGTTGTAGACACTGTAGATCACTGCACTTAGCTCTGCTGGCTCTTAACTCCTCTGATAACTGCTCACACTGTACACACTTGTCTGGTGTCTGACTGACTGCTGTGTTTTCTGCGTGCTGTGGGGGACTCACGTCGGACTCCTGCTGAGTCTGATGAAGAAGAAAAAATGCATCAATTTTGCAAGTTTCAAAGACTGAAAAGCTAAACAGAACAGGTTAATTGTACACATGCTCCAAAAAGTATTATCTACTAGTTTGTGTTAGACAATACAATATGACACAATGGACGAAGGATTTTGACAACCCTACGGAGACAACAAAGTCGCGGCGTTCATTTTGGAATTCGTCGAACCCGTCCATAAAGATAACCTTTTGGTGTGTGTGTACATTAGTCAGTGTGACAGAGTTTAAACAAAGCAAAGCACAAACTCTTAATGGTAATGAGGGAATATGGCGAGGATATCTTGTTGTGACAAATATACTGTATCTATTAACTGTACTGTACCAAGTTTGACTAAAATCCATAGATGGACACATGGATAGTAATGAACACATAAGTAAGGTCATATATCAATACTTAAATTCAGCTTTTATAAATAACTTGGCACTCAGCATGGCACCTAACAACTTGGCACTGTACCTTGACATTCACACATGACAAACTGTCTAATCATCTCCATTCACCTGGGAATTATAAGTGGTTCAAGAGGACACGTTACTGAGAAGAGCTAAAACCATCAACAAAAATGGCTGCTCCTCCTGACAGATTATATCACTGCTTCATCAAGTGTGTACGAGCAGTGATGTAGTCGGGACGACGAATGACTCTATTGTGCTTAACCCCTTGTGTACAGGGTCTACAGGGTCCTCCCTCTGTTGAAACAAAATCCTCTGGCATTAGTCAAATAAAATACTGTATTAAAAATGGTGTCCCTGTAGTGAAAGGGTTAACTCACCTGGTCCAGCTTGTGTTGTAGTGAAGCACATGATGCCCGCAGTGTAGCATTATCATCCTCCAGAAGAGCCAGTCGATCATGTAGGGAGGTCACCTCCAGGCTGGCCTCCATGTTGACGAGTGTAGTGTTGTGTTGAGGGCTCTCGAGGCAATCTTGTGATGGCTCGTCCTCTCCCACAGGAGCCATACCGGGTGGGCTGGCCAGCTGAGGTGATACTGCTTCACTCACCTGTAACAAAATGACTTACAAACAGATCCTACGATAAAAACACTAAACTCTCCCACTTGTCTTGTTCAGTACTGTAGTGTACCTGTAGAGGCTAACTTGAAACTTAGTAAGAAAATAATCCAAGTTAGACAAGTGATGTTGGTATATAAAGAGTGAACAGCTGGTGGTGGTGTGAGAGGTCTGGCACTAGGACATCTGGCAGTGTTGGGAGGTGTGCATGTGGGTTGTCATGTGTTGTGTGTGATGCAAGGTCCTTATGGCCGTCCTCTCATGCTTGTAACAATTATAGACGAGAAGAGTAATTACAATATGATCACCACCTGAACACTGGCCCACTCCAGCTTATTTCACCTGAAGGTTAACCACCAATAAAACTATCCTAACCTAATCCATCCAGGTAGCATTTGGGGGTTTAATCATCAGGTAACAAATCTCAGGTGATGAATTATGACATAAATAACTTAACACTATTCATTACATAACAGAACATTCCCTGCACTGTATATAAATTCATTGTTATACGATGAACCTATTTTTGTGCTTATAACACTGATCAATGTTCAATTTTTGTGTGTGTTTATGCCTTCACGTCCTTTTTACAAATGAGACCTTTCCACACCAAACGCCTGGACCCTGGGAATGACAGTCTCTCACCTCTTATATGAATCACTAATAATGTAACATGTTTTTAATGACTAAGGCTCTCTCTCTTCTCTCTCTCTTTCTGTCTGTCTGTCTCTTTTTCTTTCTCTCTGTGTCTCTTCCTCACTCTCTCTTTCAGCTTCTCCCCCTCTCTCTCTCTTGTTTACACCTTAAACACTGTACTGTCTTTTCCACCAAATATACGAGACAACGACCGATCCCTTCATCATGTCGGTTAACTAGACAATTGTTGCATCACAAAATAAATAAGATGGACACTGCAGTAACCTAAAATCAGTATATATAGTTATTTGGCATCAAGATAAATATATAAAGGCACCACAAACATCATCTCTGACCTGTAAATTAGTCATAAGTTTAGGAACATCCCCAACCTTGAAATTCTCATAAAACCTGAAAATCCCTCAAATGCAAACACTTGTTGGGTGGTGTGAGTGGTAGTGAGTCAGGGAGTCAGGATGTTGACAGTATGTAGCCAGCTGGTGGTGAATCTATCTATCTCTCTCTTTCTCTATCTGTCTCTGTTTTCTTTCTCTAACTGTCCCTCACACCCAACCTTCTCTTTCTGTCTGTCTCTCTTTTTCACATCACTCACTCTCTTTCTGTCTGTCTCTTACACTCCCCTCTCTCCTTCTGTCTATCTCTCTCATCACAAGTAGACACATATTGACACACTACACCAAGTAACACAAGTACACATGACACACAGATACAAGGACGTAGGTGTAACAACAAGCAACAGGTGAAACAAGGTGAAAAACACAAGGAGTGGGTGAGGATCAGTTGGCCTGTGTGCACGGTTCACCTGCCAGGGACACAAAGATACTATGGGTCTTGCCTCAGGGGGCATCAAGGTCGTCTATGAGTTAAAATAATGGCTGAGAGAGAGAGAGAGAGAGAGAGCCCTAAGCCAGATAAAACATGCGATATTAATAGTGATTCACGTAACAGGAGAGGAAGAGCAGATTACCTGAAGTGAAATAAGCCGGGATCCCTCGTCTTGACATAATCTGGGAGAGTCACAAATAATCCTGACTATGACTTGGTGGGGAGAATAGTGAATGAGTCAACACACACATAATGTTCTTAAGACAACAAATAATATCTTGATGCAGGATAAAGGCAGTGTGACTCATCCATGGTGTGTGTGTGTGTCTAATATGACCAACTATTTTTTCAATACATTTCAGATTATAATTATGAAGTTTAACAGCCCAGTTTATAGCACCTGATGAGTAAACACCTTAATGCTAACCTAATCAAACTTAACCAAACCTAAACTAACCTAGCAAAACCTAACTTAACCCAACCCAACCCCCCCAGGTGGCACTAGGATAATTAATCATTGGGTGAAATAAGTTGGGGGGGGAAGGAGGGGGGGGGTGATCTTCAGGTGTTCCTAATTTCGTTTCTGTATTCATAAAATATTCTGAGCAACATTTATTTCTGTAAACACCTCAAGTGAATCATTATTTATGTATATTTATCTTGCTTGGAAGGTCGGCGGCAAGGTGGTGGTGAGGTGGGCGGTTTTAAATGATGACCTTGGGTGGTATATAAACAACTTAGGGTGAGGGGGGGGTGTGGGTGGGAGGGTGTGGGTACAGGGGTGTATGTACAGGGGTGTGTGGGTACAGGGGTGTGTGGGTATGGGAGTGTGTGGGTACAGGGATGTGTGGGTATGGGAGTGTGTGGGTACAGGGATGTGTGGGTATGGCGGTGTGTGGGTACAGAGGTGCGTGGGTATGGGGGTGTGTGGGTACGGGAGTGTGTGGGTACAGAGGTGTGTGGGTACAAGGATACAAGACAAACAATACATAAACAAGTACAATATTTGTCAGCTAACATTGTCACAAAGATATTTTAGCTTCTCTTTTAAGAACTTAATGAGCTTGTAAAATTATGAAACATTTCTGACATGGATAAGGACGGATGACAAATGAATGACACGACACAGCAGATGACAAGACAATGGATGACACAAAATGACAGATGACACGCAACATGATGGATGACACGCAACATGATGGATGACACGCAACATGATGGACAAAACCAATTAAAAAAATATTCTTAAATCCAAACAAACAACAAAACAAAGAATATAAAGTAAAAAAAAAAGAACTAAAAACTAACCTATGAACTTTTTTGAATCTGCCCTTGATGTCATAGCTTGTCTCAAAGGTGTCCACACATAAAAAAAACCCACCAAAACAAATGACTTACGAATTTCTGGGAACAGTGATTCTTGGGACCTGAGGACCAGAGTGACGCATGCCTTTGTTTTGAGCTTCTCCGGGGTGGGGTGGGGTGGGGTGGGGTGGGGCCAGGAGGTGAGTTTAACCTTCAATGATCTCTTAAGCTATTTATATTCACCTCATGCATGCTGAGGACCCTTCTTGCACGAGAGAGAGAGAGAGATATTTATACATAGTTTTAGTCTCACACAAAACACAGGCAGACAGACTCACACACACACATAGGTACCCACCCATAAACACACATACAAACATTCCTCCAACACACAGAGTACTCACAAATACATTCTTGGCAGAGCAACCATCATCCTTACTATCAACACTACTACTACCCTCACTTACACAATCCCAAAAGTAACTTACACATGGACACCTTGTTAAGTACATTAAAATAGTCCTGTTTATAACCATTACTTTTACCATTGTGAAGGTGTCCCTTAATCCAACCAATCTCAACCTAATCTGTCCTAATCTTACCCTAATCTGTCCTGCTCTTACATTAATCTGCCCTAACATTCATCTAATATTACACAAATCTGACCAAAATTTAACCTTATCTGACTAAAACTTATTCTAATTTGACTGAATGTCCCTGATCTGATCCAATATTCCTTTAATATTTACTCAAAATCTGAGCAATCATCATTCTGACTATTTAACTGATTCAGAAGACTATTTAACTGATTCAGAAGCTCAACAAAACTATATGAGGTAATTTCAAAGCAGCTAGGTGTTGTGTGTTAGGTTCCAAGAGTAACACGTTGCTAGGCTAGTGAGTGTGACAGATGACCCCATTCATCTCAGTCAATCAAATAATCTAAGTAAATAGATATGAAACAAAACTTGACCTGAACTATCTTACACACATATGGATTCTCTTCACATTTTATACAGAGGTTCTACTTTACATAGTGATTAAGGATTAGGGTTCACAACTGAGAAATTCGAGTAACTAGTAGTATTTAGAATATTGAAAAGGTCAATTACACTGTGCCCGTATATATTAAATCATCTTTATATACATTTTCTGATAAATATAAACTACGTATCTTTACTATATAAACACGTTATTTTTATTTTTTAACAAAATGTTTTATGTAAAAAATTCCTAACATATTGAAGTCTGATTTATGGAGGTTTTACTACTACAGTACTAATACAACAATACATTACTGTAGGTAGGTGAGCACAGTACTTGTACAAGTCAGATCACAACATTCCTACAATATGGATTATTTGGATGATGATCCAGAAATAATTTGAACTTTACAAGTTATACAATGATGTAAAGTATTTAAAGGTTCTCACAAAATACATAATGAAGCTGAATTGTCTTTCATGTAGATATAAATATATTAGAAAATCTGCACTGAATCTGCAGAATTACAGAAATACATTATATTGAAGGCTTTAAAATACAAAGTGGAACTATTACCTGAAATATCCCTTTAAAAAAATATATATACTGTACGTATATATTACTGAAATCGACTCAATGGTTTGTGATGACCCAAAAGGAATTAAGTATTCTGAAACATGTAAAGAAATAGAGTAATACAAAATAATACTTATGATCTCCTCAGAGAGTTACAGATTAGGGGAAGGTCGAGGATTTCCCGGAACATAAATATCACTTTCAACAAACAGCCAAGATGTGAAACGCCCAGACTGATAACTCCACAAATACCCACAAGGTTGAGGATTTACTAAAACATCCAGAATAAAAATACTAAATCTCACTGACAGAGACTTGAAGCCTTTAAGAAAAACATTTATCTTCTTTTTCCTAATACTAATTTGTAAAATGTTACTAAACATTCTACAGTTGGTACAAAAGAGCTTTTAAAATACTTTCTAGAAACACATGACTAATTCACTCAGAAATCTACTCAAAAGGTCCCCAAAACTCCCCAGAATAAAGAAGTGGTGCAAGAAGGAACAGACAGCACACCTGACTCTCAGAATGTTGGCAGCACTGGGAATTTTGGCGCGCACCTCAACTTGGCGGGTTTTCCCCTGGAAACACAACAACAGCGTGTGTGACGTCACGGAGTTATTCTCGCACGGGTGACACCTTCA